ATAGAAATGCTTTACCTTATTAGCCAAGCTCACAGCATGAATAGCTTTCTCCAGGTACTTCTGACAGTCCCACTCCAAATAAACTGTTGCAAGTAGTCTCAAGACTTTGGCCTGGAGGAATGGGAAATAAGATTACAATGCATTCAGTTAATGCAAAAAAGACCACACTGAAAATTTATATTTAAATATTAAATAAACAGACAGTTGTAGGATATGGACATTAAATGTGAATGTTTGTGAATATGTTTTTTTACTCATTTATTTTTTGACCCCACAGTATATCGGTTTTGACTTATATTTCTTACTTGCATCTCTGGTCCTGGTGAGTATTTCACATTCATCTTGCCAATATCATAACTTTGGCTGAAATGCATAATAAGTATATATGTTAAGTGGAAAGAAATCTTACAAAACAAGGAAAAATGTCTTAATGGTAGGGCTGTAAAATCGATTAATCGCATCTAACATTAAAGTTTGTGTATAAAAGTGAAGTACACTACTTCAATGACATTAATACTAAGTATATTGTACTATTACAAAAGTTTGGTGTCAGTAAGATTTTTTTTAAAGTAATTAATACTTTTATTCAGCAAGGATGTATTAAATTTATCATGTGACAGTACAGATATTTATTTTGAACAAAAGGTTTCTATTTCAAACAAATGCTGTTCTTTTGACCTTTCTATTGATAAAAAAAACATGTATCACAGTTTCCACAAAAATATTAAGCAACACAACAGTTTTTAACATTGATAATAATAAGAAATGCTTTTGAGCACCAAATCAGCATATTAGTAGGATTTCTGAAGGATCATGTGACAGTGAAGACAGGCTGCTGAAAATTCAGGCTTGCCATCACAGGAGTTATTTTAAATTGTAATAAAATTTTACAATATTACTGTTTATACTGTATTTTTGATTCTGTTTATACTGTATTTCTTTACAAAATATAAAAAAATCATACCAATCCCAAACTTTTGAACGATAATGTATATTAGATATCCCTACCTGAGCCAAAATGTGCTCTCTTCATGCTTTCCCTGACTGTAAGTGACAACCCCAAAGTTGTAACAGATGAGAGAGAGATTTCCAGTCTAAAGGAGATTTCACAAAAAGTGTTTTTATTTCCTTTTTATAGTCTGTATTTTCTGAATCTCTCTAAATCAGAATAAACCAATGACACCACTAAACATGCTGACGACAACAGTTTGTTCACCTCTTTAGGGAGACGGAGAAGCATTTCTTTACATCGCTGCATGCATGACACTGCCTCCTGATGTTGCTCCTGAGAAACTGCCTATACAGAATACACACAAGATAACTTAAATTTGAGGGGAAAAAAGGTCAACATATTTGTGTAAATTGTAAAAAACAAAAAGCCCTAAACTCTCTCAAAGAAAATGTTAGAAGAAATTTTAGGCTTCGTAGTCACTGCACATTGCTGAACAGTTCTGCTCACAGATTCAGCTTGATAAGACAAAATCCGCAGCAAGTCTTTCTCTATGTCTCCCTTTGGTGTGTTTATATCTTCTGCACAATCTCCATGGGAAGTTAGTCTGCTGTAAAGAGTCTCCAGGCTCTGTGAAAGTAGCATATTCTTTGTTTCTTGTTATTACAGTCCCTAAGAATTTGAATAATATTACGGGTATTTTTAATGTTCCAGTATCCAATGACTGTATCTTTTTTATTTTTGACATACATGTAATATCTATTTTTTCATACGTACATTGACAGCCATGCTCAAAAAAACATCAGCAAGTTTGGGTTGTTTACAATCAAGCCATGTTCTCCCTGTTTTACTGGCCATCTGAGGAACAGAGATTTCAGTGTTTTACTGATATACAATAAAATATGGCAGGAACATGCACAAAGGATGGAAATTAACAAATCTACAGTGTCTTAACATGAACCCCTTCATCAATCCCTGTCTTATGCATGAATGGTAAATTAGTATAGGCTAAACAAATAAAACTGCTGGAACAAGTGAGTGACTAACCAGTATCTGTTTGCGAACAAAAGTCTCAGATGGGTTATTAGGCCCGCATAAATACAGAAGTCTGCATGCCACATGACGCACTGAAACATGAGTTTGTAGTGTATCAAATAATTGACATCTGTGAAAACATCTGGAGATACACTTTAAAACTTTCTTTTGTTAGTATATTACGAAATAAATAGTGACAGAAAACAGACAGACAGACAGACTGACTGACAACCAGATCCATTAATAGACAAACAGAAAGATAGACTACTGAGAGACAGACAGACAGATAGACCTTTGGCCTTTTGCCCTTCTGTAATAGTTGAACCAACACGTTTGGTCACAGCCCAGTTCCACAACTGTATGGCGACTTCCTCCAACTACAAAAATGTAGTCAATATCAATATCTAAGCATAATTACCAGATTTCAATGGAATTTATATGTTAACATAAAAAGAAGAAACATGTTATGTCGAGAAAATTAAGACGTGATAGTGATATAAGACATAAAAAAATAACACATGATCTTTAAGGGCTTCCGTAGATTTCAACTGAGGTTGTCATACCTGTGAATCCTGTAGTTGTGCTGCGCCATCTAGAGTTAATATTTCTTTGAAGAGCGCCTCAATCACTTCATCTAAATTTGAATCGACCTGTCTGTGGAGAAGCTTCTCTGACAGACCTGTGAAAGAGAGTCTATCTTCAAACACGAAACAGCTTCACTTCATGGCAAGGTAAGTTGAAATAATTCAAACAGATGATACTAAAATGACTAATAATATCAATAAGAGATTAATTATTTTGTTTTAACCTGCATAACTACCACATATCTTCATACAATACATTATAGGCTATTCTTACTTTTTACATCGACTGCAAACTGCTCCATATTACTCTCCGTTTTGTGTATTTTAATACACAAGTAGAGTCACGTAATTTAAAATATATTGTGTCAGTAGTTTCTGTGTGACCGTGACAGAAAAGCTCCTCTCGCGACCGTCCACCGCCAAAAATGCGCGCGAGAACCCAGTATGACCTCGCGCGCTGCACTCCGAGTGTAATACTGCTGTATGGCCACAAGGTGGTGTCTCACACACGGTTATATATAATTCACCTCTCCTTCAAATATTTCAGATTCAGATTTAAGCAGCTTTATGGGCGTGGTAAATCAAAGCTTATCAATACAACAATAAAGCTAATTTAGTAACATTGTAGATTACAATTTGCTTTGTGCAAAATATCGAATAAATATAAAAATAATATAAAATGAAATATCCTAAAGGACAGATGTAAGTAATTATTTCATATAACTGAAGAACTAGCCTACTAGTCAAGAGTACATGCTGCTATATATTTAGAATTCTCAACTCTGTCCTTGTTGAAAGGTTTGAACCGTATGGTATAATAGCATTGTTTAAGCATGATATCCATCACCTTGTGGTATTAGAACCTCATTCATTCACCCCAAAGAAAGCATGCGTTGATGATAATGCTGGGGTTTTTGTTTTAACAGGGGAGGTCATTGTTGAGCTGAAGGAAAGAGCTCAAGCTGCGTACACATAATCGGTTGTGAAGTCTCTTATTGTGTTCACTGCTCTAGATTCAAAAATAAGATGTCTTAAAAGCCCACTCCTCTCAGTGTGCGGCTTCCAGCAATTGTTTCTGCCTGAGTCTTATCTAGCCACCGCGCTGGCCTGAGGGAAATGTGTGATCAGTTCAGAGGGCTTGATTGCACAGGAGAAAGAAAAAACAAACATGATCCTTGTGACAAGTGGTCAGAGAGATGCACAAATATTTCCTAAAGTCAGCTACATAAATAATATTAAAATAACAGACATTTATACATTTGTGCCAGATTTAAAAATAGTTCTACTTTGGTAGTGAATTCATTAGTTGCTAGATAAATATTATTTTGTAGTAGATTCAAGAAATACCTAAATCAGATCTCTGTTGCCAAACCATGAAACATCACCAGAAATGTCTTGGTTAAAGGATTTTCCTCAAAACGTATGCATTGTTATATAAGATTTTAAGCTTCTTTAAATAAAACAAGAATACAGGCATTTTTAATTATATAATAAATAATCATTTACATATAAAATAATGCAGAATAAAATGATTTATTAAATATGAATGGCTAAATATATAGCCTAAACCTCATCAAAAGTAGAGATAACTAAAACTGAACATTAACAGCTACCTTCACTTTGAGTCACAAAAGTAACCGGTAAACTGTTATCAGTTACCCTTTAATCACATTATCCTCCAATCAATATTGAAGAAAGAAATCCACACGTAACATTATACCTCATCAGTAGCAAACTGTATTAAACTCTACTGTATTCTGACACAAGACTTTTTGATTTCTGCTCTAACAGATTGACCATCTTATTCTGTGCATTTAAAGTGATATAGATGGAAGGACATGAATGGACAATGTGTTGCCAAACGTTGCGGGGAGCGTGTCCTCATTTGTAGCATCAAAAAGACAAACAGTCTGTGGTGCATCCATTCACCATGGGGTGTTGGAAGGTGAAAAGAAGTCCCGTGATTATTTACATGGATATAAAATTAGCTGCACATCCTGTTTCTGGAGTTAAAAATAAACCTTGTAAATGTTTTTGCAAGGTATTTTTCTGATATGTTATCAGACAATGCCTGTTTACCTTTGAACCTAGATATTTTAGGTACTCTTCCCGGGGGGTCGATAGAGTTTGGTTAAAATAATGCAGTTGAAATATGCCTACTTGCGCAGCGTCTTGACATTCATAGAGCCATTTGGGTGGGACATTTCACTGAGACGAAATACACCTTTCATTAAAGCGGACAAAAAGAGCACAAACATTTACTTCAAGATATTCTGTCTTGTAAGAATCTGAATTAAGCAATATCTTAATTGAGTTAAGTTAAGGCAGGAAAAGTGCGCGCGAAGTGCACTAGGAGTATCGCTGCAGTTACTATGGTGACGTTGCGTCCTTCCGTCCTTGCTTCATATAAAGCCTTCAAGAGGAAAACCCCGGCAGAAAAGCCAAAGGCAGTGGGGTGGTTTATCAGTCGGTTGGCATTATAAGTTCTTTTCATTGTTATATAATTGTTAAACCTTTATACAGTCTAGTTTTTGAAATTTCAATCACTCAGTTTTAGGAAGGAAGCGCAAACGTCGCACCTGCCCTCGGGAGTAGTTTGGAGTTGCTCCACTCGTGTTTGTACCGGGGCAGAGGCGCAGTACCGTCCGATACCTTTACCATCACTGAGAGACTACGAGACGTGTTTTCATTATAGAGGCATCACTGAAAGAACAATCGCTGACATAACGGGAACTAAACGCATATAACTCGACATCAAGAGACATTTCAGTCCAGGTGGACTACAACAACCACATCAAATATAAAGTGACAGTTTACGGAATATCTTTCGGCACGTTATTTTAACTGGCGAAATGACTTCTGTTCAACCCTCAGTCAAAGGCTTCTTCACTTTTCAGCTGCTCTTTAATTTCTTCTCAAGTGGTAAGTGTCGCTTTTTGTAATTTTTCTGCGCTTTAAGTGAAGCTGCACGCGATCATGTCTTGCTTTCTTTGGGCTGCTGTTGTACAGATGCGGCTTGAAGTTCAGTTCTCATCCTGATCTGCAAAGTAAATGGATACTGTAGAAACAAATGCGGATGTAGGCTAATGATGAAAACATTTTAGTGTTGTTCTAGATTCAAATTACATCACTTATGGCATTGAATTAATATTTAGGTTTGTGGCTTGTTCTGATGTTATTTGAAAGTTAATTTTAGAATACTATACAGTATGAGAAATGTCTTCATTAAAATGTTATATTATTTAAACTTGAATGCCATTGACCTTCAGTCATGAGTTCATTGCACTTTTTAAACTATTTAGACTTTAATTACTGCTGAGGAGAAGAAACTGAAAACACATGAAATCTTGTAGAAATTGCATTTATTGTAACAAATTAAATAGATGGGGACAAATATGTTGGTGCACTGATGAAAACAGTTTTCATCATTGTATTAACATATGATGAGTTTTTAAAATAAGGTAGCCTACTTGGATGTCATTTCTCAAAACCCAACGAGCTGCCTACCTATACTCAGATTATTATTATTTATTTTTTGGGGTATAGCATTTTGGAGATCATATGTGGCATCATAAATCTGTTCGGGGTTCCCAAATTTTGGGCAGCTGGGTTTTGAGACTCAACCATCAGCGCTCTGCACTCTGGCACTAACTAAAGCGCTCATTTAGCAAGCAGGAGAGGCTTTATCCTTGCTGGGGCTTAAATGATTTTACTGACATTTACTCAATTATGGGGACCCCAATCATATGGTAAATTTTGTTTAATGGTCCACAGCTAGTTATGGAAGAACAGTAGGTCAGTGTCAGTGTATTCTGACTGACAATTGTCAGTGTCTTTGAATAACTCAACTAGCCCCATGGGACTAGTTTAGTTATTCAAAGAATGAACACATTGTGATGGAAATATCAGGTGTGTTTTTTGATAACATTCAAAACAGTTTATTGTAAATGGGTTGTTTGGGCACATCTCCAGTTCTAGTGTTGTTGAGTTTGAGAAGAGAATATGTGTTTACAAGAGAAAGTATATTGTTGACACTTGGCTGCTTGGTTTTCTGGCTGCAGCTCTTTATAACAAGATGGATAGTAAAAGGTGGATGCCATTGTTCGTTGTGACATTACAGTTGTGCACTACAGATACAGGTCTTCCTCCTGCTGTCCAAACAAACAGAAGCTCTTACTCTCATCCAAACAGAGGAAATACTGCTCCCCCCATGACTTTTTGGGTCTTCAAGCTTTGTCTACAAGGTCTCCAAGTAGATTTCCTTCGCTGTCCTCACGCCGAGCGTGGGAAAGACACATGAAGGAAGCGGATGGAGAGGCAGGAGGCACCCTGGAATTGTTCTGGCAGTAGAGGTCACGGAAATGTGACACGCTACCTGAGTAAAGATTCCTTCCCCAGACTTCTTGCTTGCTCCTCTACTCCAAATGTGTGTCAGTCGTCCCACCTACAGACAATGGTAGAGCGGAAGAGCATGCCATTATATTTTATATGTCAGGGGTGTATGGTTAATCCATTAGTCAGAAATATGGCATGAAGACAATAGCTGTTTGCCACTTCTGTCATGTTAAACTATTTGTGGTGGGGCATTGTGATTATTTCAGATGTTTGTATCAAACATTTGTTAGCTCAACTATGTGAAATTATCCATGTGATTTCTTAAGTATTAACGATTCAACTTTCTAGTTTATCAAATTGAAACTGTTACAGTGCATAAGAAATACGAGGTGAGTCAGAGTCCCTAGTCAAACTCAGCACTAGATCTATAAGTTGAACTTTACACGTTTAGAGAAGTGAAACACATCTTTACTTGACTGTTAGAAGTTACTTACTGGAATGAGACGGAAGTATGTTTTAGAGAAATATTCAATAATCCCACTGTGTAGATATAACGCATCTTGAAACGATCCAGATATTGCCCAAGGCTCTGTTTAAAAACTTTGCTGGACCATTTAAAGGTGAAAATACTCCAGGAATTTTACACATCTGAGAACCCTCCACATTGCATTACTTTTCAGAACGCACTGAATACGTGTTAGCGCACTCGTACTGGCAACTTTAACATCACAACTTTACAGTAAAAAAATATTTGATTACTGGCTTGACAAATTAGGCCTGTTTCACGTTGCATGCATAAGCAGCACATAGGCAAAGGATACAGTAACTGCAATGCAGGCTCACTTTGTGCTTTCAGACTGGATGCATTTATGCTGAGTAACAGAGATAAAGTCTTGAACCAACGAGAACCAACGAAGCAAGCTCAAACGTCCTGCGCAACACAATAATGAACCTCATTGGTTTGCAGGTCAAGCGAACATGCTTGAGCTTCAGTTTAGCACAACTGGTGTATGAGTTGATGAATGTTTGTGAATAAAAGCCTAAATTCAATCTGTTCATCATATAAAGTGATTGTGTCTCTTCAGAAATTGTTTAGTAAACCACTCAATTCCTATGGATTAGTTTTATGATCTCTTTATGAACCTTTTGAAGTGTCAAGGCCTAGTTGCGTATAGCTGTCTATGGAGGGACAGAAATCTCTCAGATTTCACCAAAAAGATCTTCATTTGTGTTCCGAAGATGAACGAAAGTCTTACAGATTTACAGAACTATCCCTTTAATAGTTAAATCTTATTTCTGTCACAACAACTCTCTGGGCCCTATTTTAACGATCGAAGCGCATGGTCTAAAGCGCAGGGCGCAAGTTCACTTTCAAAATGGTCGGCGCTGCACCTGCACCAGGCGCATGGTCGAAAAGGGTTGTCCCTATTCTCTTAATGAGTAATGGGTGTGTTTTGGGATTTACTTGCGTTAAACCAATCAGAGTCTCATCTCCCATTCCCTTTGAATGCCAGTTGTGCTCGCGCCATGGTGGATTCGCTATTTACATGAAGGAATTTAATAGTGGAAATACCGAACGCTTCTCCAGAGCGCAAACGGAACTGCTCGTGCGCAAGGTAAAAGTGCGCAAGCAGATAATCTACGGGACAAGCCGGATTCACCATATCTTTATATACACAATAATAATCTTTTACATTGTTATCCTTTTATTTTAAATATTTGGCATGTTTGTGTGCTGCTGTGTGTCCCTGTGTGTTTAATAAGCAGAGTGTACGCGCGTTGTGGACCCGCCTACAGGCGCACATTACTAACGCGCTCTTTAAATAACAAAAAAAATATATTGCGCCATTGACTTTAGACCAGGTATCAGTTAGTCAATGGCGCAGTCTATTTCTGTTGCCTCAAAATAGCAACGCGCCAACAATGCACCTGAACACACCTCGTTTTCAGACCAGCACGCCCATGGGCACAAATGCATTTGCTATTTAAACAACGTGTCGCAGGACGTGAAAATGATAACTGCGTCAGACTGAAACTAGCAAAAAACACTTGCGTTGCGCCGGGTGTAAGATAGGGCCCTCTTAGTTGTTGGTTATTGCTGCTGCAGAGCAAGTATGGGACTTGCTACTGCCAATACGCGACACACTGCTGTGAGCAAGTAAGACATGCTGCTGCTGTACAATATAACACATGAATTACTTGTAGCAAATCTATACTGGTGGAGCTGGGGAAGCTGGAGGGTTTCTGAAAGCACTGCAACTGCTACAAATGCTGGCCAAGTATTTGAAGGATGAGCAGCAAGCTCATTGGCTACTGATACAGTTCAGCTGTACCCTATAGAGAATGATGTAATTGCAAGATTGAGTTAAGGACCTATTTGTCTGCGCCATCTAGAGTTTCATGACAGAATTTTGTGTTTACACAAAGAAAGTGAAAAACATTTTAATCTAAATGATAATTAATCTGGACAAAACAGAACCTAAACTGTAGCTGTTTACTGCCTACAGTGTGTGCATCAAGCCTGACAGACTTTATTAGACAGTGAAATGTTAATAGTGCATTTAAAAATATATATTTATACACAAATTCTGTGCATTACTCTACAGTCAAAATAGTTTCAGAAACTCTACTTGCACCATCTCAGTGTTCTGCGCATCCTGGAAACTATGAATATGGGTAGCAAAATAATTGTTTGAACACTAGACTGTGTAGTGCCTGGGTTGAACTTGATTACATTTCTGGATTACATTTTATTTTTCAAGCTCAGGAAGAACTGTAGTGTTCCTACTGAACAGCAGCAGTGCATGTTGGGAGAAATACAGTAGGTAGGGGTCAGCCAAGTGCAATTCAAGCTCATCCACTCATCCCACAGAGGTGGGGTAGCACACGAGTATAGACTGTGCAGTGTGCTTTCTTGCTTGCTTTCTTTATATTTGCAATCTTTTTTTCTCTTCTTTTTTTTTCTCTCATGAAACATTAAAAGTACTGCATTAAAATTTATGTTGACATGTTTCTCTTCTCTCAAACTTGTCAGAATTAGTAAGACTGTGTTTTTTGTCATTTGGTATTTCATCCAAGTTGACTTCTCCCTTTGAAACACAAATGTGATGGCTGCCCATGTTGTGTTATATTGCAATTTCAAGGAGAATCTCCTGCATGAAGAACAGCAAAATCCCCTGAGCTCCAAAACATATTGTGGGAGCTTATGGGATTCAAATCCACTTACTATTTCTAGGGTTTGTCATATTCTATTGTTTCAATATTTGACCAGATATGACCAGAATTACCACTCAGTTTAGCTAGATGTTGTTTGTTTAATTAACCATCTTATTTTTTTCGTATAGGTTGAGTGTGTTCGGTTTTTGACTCCACCTTACATAGACCAATCCAGGAACTAATAAAATCTGCATTCTCCATTGCTGTTGTCTTAACCTAGCGACTTGGCAGGGAGCAGTAGTTGTAGCAGAGGGACTTGCAATAAGAGAACACTTCAATGAATGAGAAGGGCAGGCAGCACAGTTGGAGGTGTAGTAGCGACTTTTTTTAGTGGGTGGTCTTTAGTTTTGTGAAGAGTTTACTGTTAAGTCTGCTTTTTGAACGTGAATTTGCTCTAAGTGTTGTTTGTGTGACAGTCCCGACCAATGATAATTAATCATCAAATAATATTATGTAAAATCTTTATAATCAGAGGCAGAATAATCACCTTTGTCTGACCACATGAATTATAGTACATTTATAAGCAGACATATTATACAATTTTATTACACGGCTCTCTGAAATGCTTGATTTTGATTGGTTATTTGTGTAATTTTACTGTCAAATATTTTCTTATACATTCCATGCTTCTTGTGACATCTCTCTCTTCTCACATAATAATAATACTAACAAACTTGTATTATTCCAATGTCATTTATTTACTTGGTAAACAGCCTTAATTATTGGTATAACATACAGATGGACAGTCATTACCGCAAAACAAACAATACAAGACCTGATCTGTCTGGGTTTATTTTGGCAGTAAGAACTAGCTGACATTACCAGACATATTACATGATTTATGATGTAAGCATAGATGACAGTCACAGTTGTTGTTAGGACAGTGTGTTTTGTTATGTGCCATTTTTTTTTACGTCCTGGAGGTTCGTAATACAATAGATCATACAAAACATTATGTTTTTGTCAAAACTCATAGTCAGCTTAAATAGACATGTATAGACATTTTACATGTCCCAAAAGGGTACTTTGTCTTCTTTCGAAAAAGACAGGAAAGAAATGAATTTGCGATTGGTCGCGTTCAAAGGTTCCCTTATGTTCGGTTCTGTGCCCATGGAGATGCTTACTATTGTTTGACGTTGTTTTTATTTGTCAAGAAGCCTTCGTTGCTTGTAAAGCTTTGAAATCATAATGGATTTTGCAGCAAGGTTAAAGGATTCATGAATTACTATTGTTGTGTAAGCCCAAAAAAAGATTCCCCCTGCCCCGTCCTCAGAGACCGCTTTACTGGCACTGTGCATCACATGGGTGGACGGGAAGCACAGGCAGTCTTGTACCAGCCACAGAGTAGGGAATTCCGCATATTATGACCAATGCTTACTGGGCAGCGACAGGATTTCCTCTGTACAAAAGACAGTACACAAGTAAATTGAATTGCATCTGTATAAAAAAAAATCTCTAACATCATCTGACTTCATAAGTTCCAGATTTTTTAACATCCACCAGGGACCAATGACACATTTTGGTTCCTTGTTGGTTTAAATGTTTCCAAGACAATGCTGACATTATTTTTTATAATCTTTAGAAGTCAGCTTTCCATGGAAAACCCACACATCATTTTGATTTAATTTAGAGATTGATGCGCCTCCCATCTCACACTCAAAATTCAAACCAATCGTCTTTGTGAAAGTTCCTCTACTTATTTGGACTTGAAGATTCTCTTGTTCCCTCACAAAACTACAAACATCTATTAGGATGCCATGATTAACTGATTGCATGATTGTGGGAGGTCAGGAGGAACAGAGCCTTCTGACAGTGACATGTCGTTTACTTTTTTCGCACGAGAAAGGCTAATCATGCTGAATATGGCATCAGTGCTGTGTTTTCTTCCATGCTTCTATGGTTGTCTTTTATTTTTAATAGGCTTTAATGGAAACCAGGTCCCAGGCCCCTTGAAGCACCACAACAAGCCTCATTTTTGGCATTTTTCAGTCTCTGTGATGGAGGAATGCTGTACACAGCTGTCGGAGAGGGGGGCAAAGTGCCGCGCTGAGGTCAGCACTGGGCAGACATCAGGGGCAGGTGGGGGTCTGTGTGCTGTGGGAATACGTGGGTGTACAGGGACAGAGACAAGAGGTTTTTATGAGAAAGTGCTCTTCTTAAGTGGGCTGCTGGGGGCCCCTGCTGAACAGGGCAGCTGTGAAGACAGCGAGAGTTGTTGGGTTTTATAGGATGTGATTCAATGTATGTGTTTGCGTGAAGGCGTACATCTGTGAATGCGGCTTAGAGGGAAATACGAATATTTTGGATGTCAGCAGGAATTAATAATTCTCAATAAAATGTATCTGGTATCAGACCAAAGCTACTGTGCGGTAAACACATATTTCAGAGCGGTCAAAACCAGATCGACTCACTCTGACTAAATATCTCTCTTTCAGTACAGTGGGAGCAGCATCATCTTCTAACTCTGATGTAACAGATTAAGATGTACAGTGTTTCTAAAAACATCCCGACGAGAATGAGTGATGACTCTTAGAACATATGTTGAACATTTTGTCCATATGAGATTTAGGAAATAAACATTTCATGATGGATTGTGTTTGTCTGAGACGGGAGGTGGACCAGCATACAGTTACTGTCTGACACTTAATGTGTTTTATTTCATGTGTAAATGTAAATCTTCTACAACTCTCAGAAGATGTCCAAATATCCACAGAACAGATGTGTAAAAAAAGAAGAAGCTTCCAGCTCAATAAGAGAGTCACCAGAGGGGAGGTTATTTTTTGACTAGGACAGCTGTGGTTATGTCTGGTTATGTCTCTTCTGGGCAGAGGGATAATATCAAGCTGATAGAGGTGTGTACTTTGCGTGAAAATCTCTGGCTACATCCGCTCCCCTTAACTAACCTTGTACTGTGAAACAACAATGATGTTGTAGCATACTAAGAGGAAGTTCATATTAAGTGGCAGTGTTGGGGTGGTAAGTTCATTCTGGTGAATGGAGCTGTGTTTTTAAGCCATTTATAAAAACTAAATTTTGCTATTGGTCAGATAATGTACTGATAATGACTTCATGGTATCCGGTATGAGACTGTAAAGTAAGGTGGGTGTAGATTAGAAGAGAACATAATGCAATTATCATCCTGATTGTAATACACAAATCTTTTTAAAAGATCATCTTGTGTTTTGAACGCTGATGCTGTATTACAAAACTTTCCGTTCTAAAATCTTAAGTAAAAGTCTGACTGTTCTGCATGAGATTTTTACTCAAATACTTACCAAAACTATTGTTAGATATTTACACCTCTTTTCATTTGGCGACTTAAAAACGTGACACTCATGCATGAGGCGCTGAAAAAGTCAAGATATCCGTGAAGAAATAGAAAAACAATAAAAACCTTGAAGCTGTCCACAAAAAAAATGTCTTTGCATTCCACTTCACTGGTTTTGAATGTGAAAAAAAAAATGTAAATGTGCGCTAGATGGAAGTCTTTCACATTTGCGCCACATCTGCTTTTTTTAGTGTCTTATGCATGAGCATTGTTTTTTTGTTTTTTTTTTGATTCCGTGTGAGACTGAAAAACTGGTAGCATTGGTGTGCTGGTCCACCAGCATAAACCAGTCTGTACCAAAATACCCTAATCTGGTCTTTTTGTCAGACTAGGTTTCCCAGAAGACGGAAAACGGAAAATCAAAATATCTTTTTTGCCTGGCGACACAAATAACTTGCATTACAGTGCCACAGCACAAAGCGGTCAGGGAGGAGGTTCAAAAGAAGGAAATCACTTATGAGATGACTGTCAACTGTCCTGGGCAGCAGAGGGAATGATACCACTTCCTGTCCCCAGCGTACTCATGGCTCCTATCATCAGCTTTACCTGGCCCCAGACCAGCAGTGAACCTTCACTGTAATAATAGCACACAGAAGAGATCTCAAGAGATCTGAGTTAAATGAAGCTCCTTATCAGAGTATAAAAAGGTGGCATTATGCAGAGGACTGACTGATGTGAAGGATGTGTTTAAGGACATCTGATTCATCTGGGTCTGCCTTGTTCTCTCACACACATGCTGACAGAGGTGACCCCTCTGTGGGGGGCACAGCTGTACATCTGGCCTCCCTCCTCTTGTCCAGAATGTGTACACATGCTCAGACACACTGTTTCCACATCTCTGCCAGCTTAAACCTGTCCAGCACAGACTAGACTGCTTTGAGCTGGATTCTGGAGCTCCACATGGAAGCCGAAAGGCTATTGCATAACATTCTAATTCAGAGTCTCTAAATATCACACTGGAATGTTCTTATAAAGTTGCATCTCGTAATTGCTTAGTGTTCTGGTTTTGGTCCGCTTAACCATAGATTTACCCTTATGCTTGTAGGTGTATTACAGTTCTCCAGGGAGAACTGCAATACCCATCTTGTATGGTTCAACAAATATTCTGTCATCATTCACTCACCCTGAAGAGTGACTTTTTAAGTGGAAACTTGTTAGATTTGACCACATTGTAGCTTTGTGTTTTATGCACTTGTGATGTTAGCGTGTCTCTGATTGACTGTGTGTTGTGCTGTATTGTGTTTTCTGTAGGGTTGGTAGAGGGATCTCATCTGCCTGATCCACAGCTGCTTCCTGCCGAAGACACACACCTTCAGCATGTTGGTGGCACACTCACGCTCATCTGCAGGTACTGTGCCCATCTGCTGTCCTATCTCACACAAACACACACAGAATGTTCTGTGCCTCTAATTGTATTCATTTGTTGTTGTTGTACGCTACCCATCCACAAAATATGTAAAAAATAAAATAAAAAATATTATACTAGTAAGCATTCCAATATTCAGAGAGAATAAATTAAGCTCAATTCATAATAATTTAAAACTACCAACTTTTTTTAATTAGCCCTTTGAAAACCAGCTTACACCTATGTTAATTTCCATGTTGCTCCAAGCATTTTACTGTGACTAGTGCTGGTTTAGTGCTGATGTGACTTGTGGATATTGTCCATGGGTGATGTACAACATTTCACTGCAATTTCCTTTTCACTCTTATTATGATTACACGGGCAAATTATTGATTAATAAGGATGTGTGATTTTTTTTTGATGTAGTAAACTTGTTCGGTAGCACACCTGGTACACTACATTATTGCACTTGCGATGCGGAGCGCTCAGGTAAGAGTCCCATGAAACAAGTCAAGAAGCTCCACAAAAGAGTTAAAGCCTCATAGGAGAAAGCTAAATTGGCATGGTTTCTTCAGCAAATACGTTTTTATCTCACATTTGCTTTAGCTCACATTGTCAGTTAGGTTTAGGTTAGGGTTTAATGTAGGGGGTATGTTCATTTCATTTCGTTTTCATGTAATGTAGTGCCAGTCACTGGACATTACACTTTTGCAATGGAGAACAAAATAATAATACTTATAGTGCCTCTTGTGGATCTGTAACTTGTGCAGCGAAATGTAACCGGAGCAACGCGTTTCATTTTTTGCAGAAAAACTCATTAACCGTCATGGTCTTTTTGGTGAAACTGATCGGGAAAGCTTTGATGTTTAATTTAGTTAAGAAACCTGGTCAGCACCAAAATCTCATACTGGGGCCCAGTATCCAAATCACAACATGCTGTTCACCCAAAAAGAGACATTCTGTCATTATTTGCTAACCTTCATGTCGTTCCAAACTTGTATGACTTTCTTTCTTCTGTGGAACATACAATAAGATATTTTGAAGAACAGTGGTAATCAAACACTGGAAATATTCCACGCAGACATTTCTCATAATATATTTTTTGAACAGAAGAAAGTAAGTCATACAGGTTTGGAACGACATGAGAGTAAATAAATGTTGACATAATTTTCATTTTTGGGTCAACTATTCCTTTAATACTGTATAAGAACTTAAGCGGGAGCTGGTATGTATCCAAATACACTGATCTCACACCATCACTCTTCAAAACTAAACTCATTTGGTTTTGCTTTAACATGGGATGACAGGCCTCAAAGAAAAGCAATATAGGCCCAAAAAAGCCATCATATCCAATTGTTGCAGAAAGAAAAGTGGATGGGGGCTTGTGAAACATACACATCGTTTAGACTTTAAGAGAGCATTTCATGCTATTGCAGTCATGCCAGGAATGCTGACCCCGAAGAAGCTTAACTAATGTAATGCTTCCCTACAAGGTCATGTGAGCAAAAAGCTGATACTGTCTTTGGCTCTGGACAGATTTAAGAGTGAAGTTGCATGACCCATCAGTCTAGAAGCAACAGTGGTGGTATGTGAGATATCTCTGATTCTCCACTGGGATCCTTTTAATGTGCCTTTTTAAAAACAAGCACTGTTTGAAACATGCCATTTGGACACTTCTTTCAATAAATACCTGTTCCCGTGTGAAAGTTGGACACTATTGAATGAATGTTTAAAACTGAAATGAACATGAGAATATGTACAAGGAATCTGACATGCGTCAGACAAGAGTCATTTTCAATAATTCAGAAAGAACTCTTGAAACTTTTAAGACAGATGTAATCAGGAACTGCAGAAGCATCAGTCGATGGAGGATACTTGCTTTCTTGGGTATAAACCCTCCTTATGCATAATTCTAAAGTTATGCTCAGGATGCCAGTAAAAAAAACATCTGCAATTGATGTAGGCTTGTTGAATTACTGTTAGGATTATGTTTGTAATTTCACAGTAAACTGAAAGAGGCTGCAGGATGTGTTTGTATGTCATTTGTGGTATAATTTTCCTGATTTTGTATGTCATGAATAGCTAAAAATCAAAAGCAATAGCAGCAGACACTCTACGCAGTGATTATTTAATTTGGCATAAGCCTGCTTGCCTATGAAATTGTACTTATTTTTGGTGATGTTTTGTTTCTATGGTGTGGTGTACATTAGAGGATCAACTTCGCTGCACTGGAGGCTGGCTAACAGAAATGTGTCATCTGTACTTATTGAGTCTTGTGAGGAGAGAATGCACAAGCACTGCAGCAAGCTGGTCATACACAACCTGAGGCACAGTGATACTGGCTTCTACACATGCAGTTATCATAAGTCCAGCGATCATGAGGTGTCCACATATGTTTTTGTTAAAGGTAAGATTAAGAATACTTTTTTTTTTCTTTTTTTATCATAGACCAAGAGATTGTAGTAAAACAGTTTCATAAAACAAAGCTTGTCTTTGGATAAACAGACCAAAGAGCTATTTATTTGGCATAATACTCATGTACATTACTGTTTTTGGTTACAAATAGAATGATCCTTACTGGATGAACCAAGAAACTTGGCACTTTGCTTCCAATTATTTGCCAGAAGAGAAATTCGATGTCTTCTGTGTGAAACACGACCTGGAAAGACTCCAAGCCATTAGAAAAGCATTATATTAAAAAGGAAATTATGTAATGAGTGGCCCCAGACCTCACCGAAACTACAACAAAGCCATAAACCTGTTAGCCGGGCAGTGGAGCTAGTAACTATTCAGCTATGACTCCACTCACTTAGAAGAATTGAATCACTGAGAACTGGACTGTATGTGCAAGACAGAACCAAACTGTCATAAGACTAGGAAATAGAAAATCAGTGACACAAAAAGGAAGCCTTTATATTATATCCTGCTTAGAGTCTTCCTGTGTTTAGGTTGTTAACATTTTGAGCAAGTGCAGTAGCAGAGTTTTATGAACGTGCCTCAAAAATATACACTACTGTTAAAACGTTTTTCAAGTTAATGCTGTTCTGTTGAACTTTCTGTTCATCAAAGATTCATGAAAAAAATGATTCATGGTTTCCACAAAAATATAAAGCAGCACAACTGATTTCAACATTAATAATGAGAAGAAATGTTGATTTCTTAAGGATCGTAACACTGACGAATGGAGTAATGGCTGCTGAAAATTCAGCTTTGCCATCACAGGAATAAATTACATTTTGAAATATATTACAATTGAAAATAAGTTATTTTATATTGTAATATAATAATAATATATTTAATGTATTTTTTTTGGTCAAATAAATTTAGCCTTGGTGAGCATAAGACTTCTTTCAAAAATAATTCAAAGTCTTACTGACCCTAAACTTTTGAATGATAGTGTATTTCCAAAAAGAGCTGAGATAACTTTAGCTGTGAAAATTACAACAAAGCTCACCAAGTCTCTGGCTTACCTGCTGTTTTGTTTAGCAGACCTCTTCCACTTCAGCCTGCTGCATGTATTGCCAATTTAGTACTTGATAGTCCCCTGGTTCATCTCACTATGTGATTCCACTGTTTATGTGAGATAAGTTTATTTTTAAAAAAAAACATATTTTATTACATGTCAACACACACAAGATCTTGTTTGTTTGATCACGCCAATCTCACAGCATAGCTGTACGGTAACATCCCCTCCTGCCAAGCTGTTTCTTTATCCAGCAGTCTGTGTGGCAGTTTGCTGTTGAAAAAGAAAAATGATCTGACTTGATCTGTGATATTTATTTGCTCCTCTAGGCATTGCCAGAAGAAGTCAAAGAATTAATTGTCAAAATATTAAATGCTTTTTTAAAAAGCCATTCAAAATCATACAGCTCATGAATATATTAATGAATTATTGTATTTGTGATTGGTAAATTAGCTTTGTGTGAAGCAAAGTGTTATTATTTTGTGCTTACTATATTATTTAATGCTTAATTTTAAATCACAGATCCCAATCATCCATTTGTGGAAGCTTTCAGTTCACCGGTCACGCTTTTTGCGTATCGGAACGAACCCTTTTTTGTGGTCCCCTGCAGAACAACGTCCCCGAACCAACGTGTTTTCCTTGAGACTGTGAGTATTTTAAGTTAGTGCCACTGAATGTAAATATATTCATACATAATTTACCGCTGCATGTGGTGGAGGTGAATGTTTTACCTGTTTACCATACCTTAAAAGCCTTGACATGAAAAATAAAAGGATGTTTTGTATGATCTGACATTGAAGAATGCATGGTACCATGGGCGTTTTTGAATTTCTCACACCCATTTAAGCCCTTAGCATGCATATATAGATAGAGACAGTGTGCTTTAGACTCAGGGAAGCTCAAGGAGGCCTGAGGAGTCTCTCTGTCTGCTTCCTGTAAGAACAGGAAGTTCGTGTTTGACTGTTGTTTTTCACTCAGAATAGAAACTCAGGATATTAATAAAACACATTTTTTCTGTTCCAGCTAACTAAAAAAAGACTAAATACCAAAAGTTTGTCTTTTATTTTATTTTATTTTATTTTTCTATGTTATATCTAATGGAACACCACCACATCTTGTTTTAAGTATACAAGCAAGCAGCCTCTTACATAAGTCACGGAAGCAGTAGATTCTGTCCTTCAAACAGCATTGGCAGCGAACTTCAACAGTAGTGGGGTTTTTTCTTTTCATAGTGGTCATGTAGTGGGTCTATGGTCATTTCTCACAGTCCTATGGATAACACTTCTAAGCCAGATGGCACAGATAGTCATGTGACCTTCCTGCCATTGGAAGATCTGTGGTATTCGTCCTTCCTGTTTCCTTCCTTCCCTTCTTTCCTAGCAGGGCACTTGGACCACGAACAAACAAAATAAGTAAAATGGGGTATACAACTTAACTATGATCAGTTTCTCACAGATAAACTTAGCCCTGTTTTACTCATTAATGGATGGGCTACTAATCATGTGCTGTAAAAGCTTCACACAATTTGTTTTCTTCTTCACAGAAAGAACATTTACTTATTTTTAAAGATAACTTGTTAAATAAATCCTCTCCTTTCACTCTCTAGATGAATCCCATGGGAGATCATATAAAAAGTAGGATGGAGGATCTTTGGGATCCAAAGATAGGTTTCACAATCCCCTTGAGACCTTATGACAGCTACCAACTGATTACATGTGTGACCAGAGTGAATGACACACAATTTTCATCGCTCTACATCCTCATAAGGCAAAGTGAGTCATTTTAATTGCTAAAATGCATAGCTCAAAGGTAGCTAAAGAAAAAATCCCAGTTACGCAATTACTTTTTGAAAATCTGTCATTGAAAATTACAAAAGCTTTTTTCATGACATAACCTAGATTCATGTCCTGTTCTCTGTGCCTAGCTTTGGAGCTGAGAAACATTGGCATCGAACCAGAACGACCAAAAGTACTAGTTGGTGACACCCTGGTCCTCAACTGCTCTGCAGAGACCACTTACAATGGCAGAATTGAATTTGAGTGGCAGTTTCATAAGAGTCGGGTGAGTTATTTGGAGCCCTGCTAAAAATGCTTGAGTTTTACCTAAAGACTCACGGTATTTGATTAATACTGTACACATTCAGATCAACTACCTGATTTAAACTAGTGTTATGTAAACCTTGGCCTGACAACCTCTGAACTTCCCCTCTGTGTTTTTAGATCAATCGCACTCACCAAATGAAAATAACAAGGGACCCACCTGGCCAAATCATCGTCATGACTAAAGCATTAATTGTACCTAATGTTACAATGGAGTACAAGGGCACATATGTGTGCATAGCATCAAATGAAGAGAAAAGGCTTCATGTTTCAACTAAAGTTACTGTATACGGTGAGGATGTGATGTTGTGCCACTATCTTAACACATTCATGCTTTTGTAGAACAATTTGAATTCATTTATTGGATTTTTTGTATGTTTGTCTCTACAGAACATCCATTCCTCAATGTGACCCACAATAAACGCAAATTCATTTCTGCTATAGAGGGTAGAAAGGTGCAGTTTGAGCCACGGGTCAATGCCCTGCCTGCACCCGACAGAGTGTTGTGGTAAATTCATCCTTTGCATTTTAAAAATAAGAGATGTGACTCAAAAGCCATAAGAAGAATGTAATGTGTCGTAACCAACTAAATGTACCAGTAATGGATTAATTGTACAATTACTAAATGTATCCTACCAGTAATGGATTAATTGTACAATTATTGTATTGGTGAGTTGTTATTTTTTCTCCTGCCAATTTGTAAATAACAATTGGTGAGTTGTTATTTTTCCTGTTGCCAATTTGTATAGGTACAAAGATGGAGTTGCTGTTTCAGAAAATTCCACATGTTATGAGACTGTGGGCTTCAACCTCACCATAAAACAAGTGAGGCAGAAGGATGCTGGGATCTTCACTATCGCACTGTCAAACCAGGAAAAGGGTCTCTACAGAAACCTCAGCTACAAGCTGGAAGTCAGAGGTAATGCAGAGAAAGCCAGTGTGAACTGCACATGATTATGAGCTTCTGATGGTTTTCTATTCTTCAAACAATATCGAAGCAAATAGGGCTGCTCCAAATAAACATAAAAATGCTAATAAAAATAGGAAACAGCCACATTTCTGTACTGTTTATATGAACAGCAAGCTTAATGAGATTATTGAAAACTTAGCTGTCAGCAATTCATTTGTGTTTTTTTTTTCTTTATTATTATTTATACTTTGACTATTGAAACGGTTTTGTTGCTTTTAAACTGTGATTTGTTTTTTATCTGCACTTCATATATTGTCATTTATATTTTAAACCTATATATTGAAATATGTGCACACATTTGATACTTTTATATCGATTTATTTTATACGCATACTTTTATATCGATTTAAATGTCTACATTGTTTGAATAAAATGTCATTATTTGATTAATTGGGGAATCGAACTAGAAATTAAAGAATTTGTTTTTGTTTTTTACATGTGAGTGAAGACAAACTTATTCTTCAGCAAAATTGCTGATTGCGTTGGGCATTATGGGTTTTTTTTAACTCACAAAGAAAAAAAATCTAAGAAAGCAGAGGAATTGATATGCTCTTCTCTGGCAAGAGCTGTGGAATGTGCTGTCAGAGCTGAAATTTTAGTAATGTACTGCCCAGATTTACCCTGAATTTTTTGAAAACTTCCATCCCACAATGTACACAAGTATAATTACCTCTTCTAGCCTAATATAAAATATTTATTTCAATGCTTCTCTGCCCTCAACCTGAACTGAAGTATATGACATCATCACAGAGCAAAACCAAGGTCAAAAACAACGGAAACAGAATTTAGAGATTTCTGGTTGCAATTAAGAAACTATTTTAGGCATCATTAATCAAATGCAGAAATCCGCCTGATGCTAAATCTTCAAACATGCTGTTTTTCTCCTTCATAAGCACAGACACACTTCATTGAGGTCTATAAAGGCAATATAGACCTCTCTTATTGAAGTTTACATAAACTTCAATATTTTTACGTATTGGAGTTATGAGGTGAAAGTTTTTTAACGTTAGCCAGGGATCTGCAAATGATCTGTATTCTTTTCTAAGACTGACCATTTAAATGACTAATGTTCTGTCAATATGCACACAGTGAAGCCAAAGATCTATGAGGAGGATGTGGCTCCAGTGGGCCCCCAAACTTACAGATATGGGCAGAGGCACAAGCTCACCTGCACTGCATTTGGGATTCCCATGCCAAACATTACCTGGTTTTGGCAGCCTTGTGACCCCAGCACTGATCTTACAGAGTAAGTCAATAACACACACAAAAATACACATATTCAGATTTGCTTTGAATCAACAGGTCTTCTGATTAGTAATTCCACATTAAATTAAAAGATTGCATAACTTCAGGTCACATTTCATTACGTCAAAGGAGAAATATGGGCTATATTTTTTTCTTGTTATTTCCACAAATTTTGGCTTGTGGTTCCATAAACAGTCGTCACCCTCCTGCACAGCATATCTCTTCTCTTGGTGTTAACATCAATGATGAATGTTGGCCTTTACCCATAGCTTTCATTATTCAAATGAACTGCATCCGTTTCCTTGACATTGGTCCAAAATAAAGCATGCCTATTGGTGAAAAATAGCCCCAGAGCTACATTTTGCAGACACTGGCTCTGTAAATGTGAGGACAATTTATTGGTCTCATTCCCCAAGCTTGCATTGTGTTGAAAGCAAGAGTATCCCAGTGTAAATGCCAGTCTTTTAGTGAACCTTTATGAATGCTATGGATGTCTCCTAAAGTTGGTGTGTCATTACAAGAGTTTCTCGTAATTGAGAGTAATTATTTGTCAAAGTTTACTGCCACATTTGCGACAAAAATACGTCAGGCTTTGTCAGGCTAAAATACCACTTTGGCTGTTTTACATATAATCAGTGATGGCAGTAAACACAACAGCTCATAATATAGATAGTGAGAAGGCCTGATTTTCAACAGCTAATGAGCGAGGTACATTGGAGGGTAATTGCAATGCCCTAGTTGGATGAACAGACAAACCCTTTCCTCTTTTATTTTAACATAGTAAAATGAATTAATTTCTTGAGCAGTGACCAAAAGAAAAAAAAGTGGCTATGTTCACACTGCAAGATTTGGGAGTTGTGGGAGCAAATCCCTATATGATCAAAATTTAGTTACGATGTGTACATGGACATTAATTGTCCATAAATCAGTGTTTTGTTGGAAGGGTCCATCGTTTGAGATCGCATTACTGCGCTCATGAAGGTGAGATGTTATCAGTTACCCTTGTTGACCGTGGCGGTCTGGGATCAGCCTTATCTCAGCCGTCCAGAGAGTGGGGGTGTTTCCTTTGAACGGTGACGCATTACTCAGCCCTTCCTGTCACGCTGCGGTTTCCTCTCCGACCTCGAATCTCATTAATCCGATTGTTCCTCCACTCAGATTGATGCAAAACAGGTCTTTTGTCTCCTGTGGCTTCAAGACATAAAACACATGACTTGATACATGGTCCTGAAATGCAGATAAAAGAAACACACATTCATTAGGGTCCATGAAACCTTACTGTCAGTGGCAAAAGATAAACATATCTGAAAGAAATTGTCTAAAAGAGTTAATTTGCCCAACAGATTCCTAGTTTTTTTTTTTTTTTTTTTTTTTTTTTTTTTTTTTACTAAAAGTAGAGGGCCTTCACTGAAATCCCATGGCCGTACGCCTTGGTATTTCCTTGTGGACAAGTACTTCCTGATTGGATGTCAAAAGGCAAAAACTTCCTCTGTAAACTCCAGAGCAGTTTCTGACGTAAACGGGTCAGAAATGCCATTCCTTATTACAATTGCAGGTTCACAACAATTATGATTTCTCTAAATATATGTTGTTGTTGTTTTTTTGTTTTTTTTGTCTGATAGGTGCAGACTTTACACTGATCCTCTTTCTGTTGACGACGCCACTGAATCACACAACCATTATCCTCATAATCTGATTAAGGATATCAACACCAAGGTTGGAGTATTAAAAAGTAAAAACAGGGTAGGTATTATGTGCAATTTTGTCATTTATTAGTAAAAGGTTTTTGCCCTTAAAGATGCATTCAGTATTTTCCCTCATTAATTAAGATTTATATATAAAGAAATGAGTAATATTTTTGAAAAATATGTTAAAACATGTCCAATCGCATGAGATTTCATGAGATTCAGTAGATTAATAAGAAAAGATGTTTTATTTTACATGGAGCGGTCATGTCATTGCAGCTGTCATGTTGAGATGACATGACCAAACAAAATGTTACTTATTTTATCTTGGTAAAACAACTTCTGTCATTGCGCTCAGAGTGGTTAACTGGGAATGCTGCATTTGTACAGTGGAATCGGTAACCGGAAAATGCTACAGCCACATCCCTAGGTGTTAGTGTACTGTCCGAATGACTGCCATATTGCTGAGTCTACCTTTAAAAATTGTTAGTTAAAAATGTGCAATCTGAATGTAAATGGAATAGTTAATTGGAAATGTATTCAAACTCTTATAACTCTTATAACCAAAGGATTTACATAATGCTGAAATTGGGTTGCTAATACAGATTAATGACTATGTCAGCTTAATTTTGGACCAAAATAATAGACCTCAAAATACTGCAGCTTATACGATATGCTCTTGCAAAAATACTGATTTAGAAGTGAAAGGGAACTATCAAAATCTGATGTACAGCTTACATCTGTCTTCCATTTAAACCTCATAAAGTCTATTGAACATTCACATCACCAAATTGCCCTTTTAGAAATCATTTTGAGAAAATATCTCTCAATATAATAAAAACCACAAAAAAGCAACAATCTGCATTGTTTCCAGACAGTGCAATCTGCATCAATAGTCTTTTTGACTGAAGTACTAATAGATTTGTGAGGAATGACATTCAGTGTGCGTGTGACCATGTGTGTGTTCTCCCCTAATGGAACTAATAGCTGAGGCTCATTTAGCTCTGCTGTAAATTATGCCACGCTTCAGTCACCTTCAGTGGAGGACAGAGGCCAGTAAACAGGGCAGCTGCTGCTTTGAGTGGTGCCTCAGGACTGAATTTATACCGATATATCAGACCATCTTACTGAGCGCACTGAAGCCAGTAAAGTCCTCATAAACAGAACTTTCTCCCAAGACTATTCATGCACTGAATGTTGATTGTTTCAGGCCTGTTTTCAAATACATGAGATGACTTTAAATACTACAGGGCAGTCATTGTGGTCCCTCGAATGTGTTGACATCACATAAACATCTGTGGGAAAAACCACTAAGAGCTAAGGACCACAATATAGTTCACCAAGGCCTTGTTTTCATTTGACCATATCACATCAGGGATTAATCCAGACTGCTACAGTGTCACTAGTTGTTTGCTTAGTCAGAGCTTGTATGTCTGTCACTTTGTCATCCTTTGCTTGTGCTGCCAAAAGTTACAGTGAACACTGCAGACATTATGAAAAACATTCCAGGAGGCCTTATTACCAAAACCACTCACCCAAACCTTGGGTGTTGCAATGAAGCACAGGTTTTCATTTGTAGCATTCCTCTACTCTTCGGTGTTACTGTACATGGAGGTCAAGTCTAAATGCAAACCATCAGCTATAAGCTATGAATGATTTTTAGTCACTGCAAAAAATAAAAGCTAGTCTGGTGCTTTATTTACAGCAAGATTTATGGGACAGAATATTCTCACAGTAGGAATGTCATTTGAAACTAATCATGCCTGCCCTCCCTTGTGCAAGGAGTTTCGTTCTTACTATGGAATAGGTGTACATTTTTACGTTTGCTGCATTTACAGGCTCTTGTGACAAATAGATGATGCTTTTCAGGGGTGAAGCACAGCGGTCAGTGATAACAAGGCCTTTAAAAGGGTGGGATTTGTTTAGAGTGAATTCCTTTCTGTCACCTCTTATAAATTTCCTTGCTCTGTGTAGAAGGCCTTGTAACCACAAAATGAGAAAGGGTCGACAAAGCAGGAAGGTCACTCTGAATTTCTGACTAGGTCATAAGATTGAGTCAGATTTCAGTTTTTAGTAGGTTTATCCAAAACATTGTGTGAATAATGTGTGTTCTGTAATGAGATTAATAACATAGAATAGTCTGTCTGCATTGGAAAGTATGCAGATCAGTTTAAATACAGCAGAGCGCTATTTCAGTGCCTGGGTAAACTGGATTGGTAATGTAAATAGAGTGGAAACATGCCCAGTTTCTCAGGTATATTTTAGTGCAACGTGCCAATAAAAATCAGCTGCATGTAAGACTAAACAACGAAATGCCATTGCTCTACAACGAGTCCTCAGATTTACATTAACCAAGCTCCACACCTCATTTCTGTCTGTCCAGCAGCGTAATGTGTTGTGTACAAAAGAAATCCTAACCTTATAAAAATTCTTTTGCGTTAATTATGACTTTTCTGTCTTTCTTTACAAACTATACAGAATTTTTTTTTAATAAAATACGTTGTTCAGAATGTTGTTCAGAGCCAATGTGCTTAAGTTTCAAATAACTCTTATAAACAGTCTGTGAACCCCAGGAAGTAAACTGAAAAATGGGTATATTGCTCCAGAAATACACCCAGAGTGTTTCATACCTTTGATGTGACGGCCAGGAAAACAGATGTCGTTTGAAACTGAAAACAGAGCTCTGGAATCTGGTCTTTTGCCAAAAATCTGCATTATTATTATGTCTACATAGGCTATTAATGAGTTCCACTTGAATATTGACAATATTAAGCCTGGTATTTTAAATGTGTATCAGGAAATGACATGGAACACAGGCACACCTTCTGTGCTGTACTCTCAGTACTGTATTTGGCCTCAAAAGGCCAGATGTAGCCTACTCAATGTGTGAGGCCGAGGAGTGTAAAAAGGTCCAGTTGTAAATTAGCCCTATGACCCTCCTGCTTATAGGAAATACATTTCTCAGACTCAGTTTAATGGCATAGGTTGTCAGTACTACTGAGTTACATGATATTGTGTTATTCTTGTTAAAATAATATTTTGTTAGTTTCTCAAATGACTGATTTACATTCCTAATGATCTTTGTCCACTCCCTTAGACTATAAGCACCCTGCTGGTGAAAACAGCTAATGTGTCTGGGATCTACTTCTGTACAGCAAGGAATGAACTTGGGAACCGGACCATGAGAATCCCTTTCTATGTGGATGGTAAGTGGTCCATTTTGCATTTTACAAATGCCATCTTTATTTTAGTCCAATTGCTAAAAGTCTATAATTACTGTGTTTTTATTCAACGTTGAATTCTGGCTGACTTGTAACTGCAGTCTTGTGCCTATGGTTGAGCAGTATTGGAGTGATTTTTGGTGAAAAAAAAAAAGCTCCTCTAGGCAAAAACATGCAACTCCGCTCCCTGTTCTGTTTCCGCTCCACTCACATACTCTGGAATGGACTATGGTACTGGAATACCAATCTCTGTTTTATAATGAATCACTTTTATATGTTGCTGACCAGGGTCAAATGTTTCTGAAATAAGAAACCCATTTACTAAGTTACGTAATGAAGAGTGTGTCGGCTGTCAGACTATTCAAAGCTGTTTAGATTAGAATGATGAGAAAAAATGAGCTGGAATGAACAGCAGCAGAGATTGGGGAAGCGTGAAAAATAAGAACTGTGCAATAAAAATGGAGACAGGAGATAAAATGGTGGATGTCAAGTGGCAGGTCTCCAGAAAAGAACAAAAAACCCCAGAGAATTTGCTGTGCTATGCATGAGGTGAACATGACTTTGTGCACAGGAATGCTGGTCAGAGGGATGAAATGGTAATAACAGCTGTCTCCTCTGGTGGGACGTATATTGCTGTGAATAAACAAGCGTTTCGCCGGCTTCCTGGAGGCCTGGCCTTAGCCTGGTTCTTATTGTAATGCTTCAGGTCAGCCATCGCTGCAGCCATTCGCCAAAAACGTGCTTCCAATTAGGAGTGATGAAACAGGAAATAACTGCAAATTTGACATTCCTGGCATGGCAGTGTGCAGCTTTGTGTGTAGTGTGGGCTAGAGTATGACGATCTCTTTCAACAGTGCATCTATAGCGTAGTTTCAGGTCCCTTATGAGTCATATGTTTTATGAGTTGGTCATGCTTTGTCTCATTGCCAATTTATAGATTATGCATAACAACATGTCATGCATCGTTGAGTTAATCTTTTTCATCCAGCTTCTTTTCTTCTATCTTCACTAGATCACCCACAGCCATTTGAGATTGAGCCCTCTACAGCTGTTGCAGGAGATGACATTACATTGACCTGCAGAGGCACAAGATACCTCTACGATAGGTTGAACTGGTATGATCCACTGGGCCACATGGTGCCCAAAGCCGAAACCACTCTTCAGATCGAGCCATACGCCATATCGTTGTCCATCAAGCTGCCCAATGTCTCCAGAAACCACACACTGGGTTATGAATGCCAGGCTTTAAACATGAACTCCAACAAAATGGTCAATACAACATCTGTTTTAACTATTGATGGTGAGTTTCATCTACCAAGCACCAAAGAGATCTTTATGTCTTTGTGTACTTTACAAAAGTACTTTACAATTGAAATATTACATTTATCTATTCAATTAATGTATTATATTTTACACATATATTAAATACATTTTATGCAATAATACGTATTGCAGTAATGAGAATGGGAGTTTTTTGCTTTCTGATAATTGGGAGAGCGAAAGTTAAATGTGCTGAAGTGTCATGAGAATAATGCCACAATAATGTTGGGGTGAAATCTCTTGGCAGTTTTCATCCAATTCCCCCTGATGCATGAATTGCTTACATTGATATTTACAATCAAAAATGATATAGAAGTGTGGCATGTTCTGTGTCTGACACAGAGAGGCAAGGGCCCTGGTTGATGCAGAATCTGACCAATCAGGATGTGAACAGCAGCAGCACCCTGACACTGGCATGCCTGGCTTATGGTGTGCCAACACCCTATATCACATGGTACAAAGACGAGACTCCTGTCACAGAAGGACCAGGTGAGAAAGCACTAAATGTATATATGTGCATTCATAAGTGATCCTCCTATCAGACCTGGAACTGTTCTGTATTATATATGGTGTATGTTTTTAATTCATTTATCTATAATGCTTCCAGGAATCACTCTAAAAGATGATGGCACTCTGATCATTGAGCGGGTGAAGAAGGATGATGAGGGCATTTATGAATGTCGTGCCAGCAATGCTGGAGGGGAAGCAAAAACCAGTGCAGTCATTACTGTAGTGGGTGAGTGGGTGTGGTTTCTAGTGATGATGACCAACTCTTCGCCTGCCTTTATTTCTTTATTCATCATTCATATTATAAGGGCATAAATTGTGCACTGTAACCATACAGATTGTCCTATTTTAGGACTTTCACTTCCAGTCAGACATTGTAAGGATGATTCAAAATCTCACAAGCACCGTTCTCAAAGATTCCATAGTAATGTAAACAGGACAAATAGCCTTTTTTGGCCAGACTTTGAATAACTATCAAATGACAACGACACACTAAGGCTGACAGGAATTCCATGCAAATTCCAGATTTTGATGGGGGTCTGGGAGTTAAAGTCAGGGTCCTCTCACAAGGGAGTTGACCTCTACATAGTCTTTGAGGACACTCATTAATGATCGAAGCAACATCTCTTTAAACATGGGCGGGGTGAAGGAAAGTTTAATGGTAAATTAAGATTCTTTCAAAAAAAAAAATTGTCCCTGCACCCTTCATCTCAATAGTGAAATTCTGTTACAATCTATATCCTCTTACAAGAAAAAAAAATCGGCTTGACATGATCCAACAAACCCAGGTCAAACACATTCATTCTAGGAGAGCAGATTGTGCTTTGAATTCTTTCTTCTTTTCTCTTTTGGAAATCAACCATTTGAACAGTTTAGGAGAATGAGTGAAACAGACCCTATCCAGTGAAACACTTCACAAACAATGCAGTGTGCTTTCATGTAGTGTGTACACACTTTGTCAGAGAAAATTAGAAATGGAAATGAAATCATTCCTAAAAAAAAAACAGATCAGACTAAAATTTAGGGGAAATGCAAAAAAAGCAGCACTGGATGACAAATCCAGTTTATATTTAGCAAAATGTGGTTTACATGTAGAAATATTGTTAAAAACATGATTATATGTAAAAAATATCATTTGAAATAATGGCAACAATTTGTGATGAATATATAACAGATGGTTCTCATTGAAATCATGGTGTTTCTGCACACAGGAGAAGACGGTAAACCAAATATTGAAGTGATCATCTTGGTGTCTACTGGAGCAGCAGCAACATTCCTGTGGATAATGCTCATTCTCTTTATCCGTAAATTAAGAAAAGTAAGGAATTTAGGTTACACTTTTTATTTAAGCTGTCCTTGTTACAGAGTAATATTCATTAACTACATATACTTACTAAAGGGTTAGGATTAGGAATAGGCTTTGGTTTGGTTGCTTGTAATTATGCAAAAGTTACCTTTATTACTATAGTAAGTACAGTACATATAACGTGTAATAAGGACACTGTAAAAAAAACAGTATAAACAGAAATATTGTGAAATAGTGTTACAATTAAAATAGCTGTTTTCTGTTTGAATATATTTTCCATATATATTACTCCAGTCCTCAGTGTCACATGATCATTCTAATATGCTGATTCTGTGCTCAGGAAACTTTATTATTAGCAGTGTTGCTTAATATTGTGTGGAAATCACAATACATTTTTTTAGGATTCTTGAATAGAAAGTAGACTTTTGTTAAAAGTATAAATCTTGCTGACTACAAACTTTTGAACAGTATGTTTACTCTGGGAATTTAATGTGCTACACGAATGCTGATGTACAGTTACCTGCTCAACTGATTTATTTCAGTTACTCTATGACAAACACGTAGTCATGGTCTTCTCTCAAAACTCTTAATGATCTAATTTGTGTGAAATTATCTAATCATGGTCCAAACAGTCATGCAGCTACATAGGAATAATGACAAAAGCCCAAACAAGTTATATTTTGTTTCAGTATTCTGATTTAAGAAATATTTAATTATTTCACCAGCCAAGTTCAGCAGATTTAAAGACAGGGTACCTGTCCATCATCATGGATCCCGACCAAATGCCCCTTGATGAGCAGTGTGATCGCCTGCCCTATGATAGTAACAAATGGGAGTTCCCTAGAGACCGCCTCAGACTTGGTGAGTTCAAATATCCTTTTCATTCACTTCTATTAACCAAAAATTGTAATTTTTCTGTTAAAGCAAAGCATGTGATGTAAAAAAAAAGAATGAATTCGAGTCATAACTAAATAGAAGGTTACTCTTTTAAGTATAATTTTTTTTCTCAAATGTTTCTCGTAAATGTTTTTTAACAAATAAAAATAGACACAAATTAGATAGTTGCTGTGATAAAGTATAAAATCAATATAGATGGCATAGCACATATGACTGTTTTTAATTTTTTTTATATATATATGAATTTGAGTTCATATTGAAGTCTCTCTCCCGTGGGACTAAACATGTAAGGAGCCAAATGTACAAAGACAAACTTATCCATACACAGCTTAACACAATTGCCTTTTTTATCTTTAATTGCCTTAATCCTCAGGCCTATTGTGTTAGAATGGTGGGCATCAGGGTCGTGTAAGTTTTCCATGAAAATATGCCTTTATGTATCAGCGAGCCGCTTCTGTCGTTCAGTCTTAACTGCTCCATGAATTCTCAGTGGAGGGTCAGTCAGGCAGTCCCAACCTCACCAGGCTGTTTTAATTACGGCCTCACATCTTTCCTGACAGGGCATTCTGCCTGATTTATGAGCCCCCAGGACACGGCAAGCTCATGTAGACGCTCTCTCTCTTTTTCTCTCTCTGACAGGTAAAACTTTGGGCCACGGAGCATTTGGAAAAGTTGTAGAGGCCTCTGCATTTGGCATTGACAAGATTTCTACTTGCAAAACGGTGGCTGTGAAAATGCTGAAAGGTAACTGTAACATGTTATGTTTTAGTGGGCTCTAAAAGTCATTACAAACTATCATTTATATATGAGTGTAAATTCTTTCTTTCTTTTTGTTTTTGTTTTTGGTATGTCGCCCTTAATGACAGCAGCACTCAAGCTGCATGAACTTCAAAAGTTTGTGTAAAACCTGATGATCATGTTCTCCAGCATGATTTGAGAGTGATCCAAAAAGCATGAAAAACATCTAACCGTTTAACACAATTTACTTATTCGATTATTGACTTCTAAATAGACCAGATCACCATAGCGTTTCTTTTTTTTTTTTTTTTTTTTAGCTTTAAACTTGAGCTCTGTTTATTTTAATTCTCAGATTTTAATAGTGGTTTCAGACTTTTAGACCCCATTGTATAATTCAGATCAGATCAACAGAAACGCAGTGCAAGAACATAAAGTCCTGGAATGTAATCAACATTCCTGTAAGTTATCTCACATCACAAATTTGCTCTTTTAGACAGATACGCTAAGCCTTTTTATGGCAGTATTGAATACATTGATCCCATGTATTGAATGCAAATGTAAATCAAAGATTGAAAACAGAAGCCTGTCCATGTGGATCTTTTGGTTGAGTTCGTATGAAGATATTTGGCAGCTGTTAACGGTATTGCATGCTGCATTTATGTGATTGACCACAGATATGAAACATTGGACAAAAGCATACGTAAGTGAACTGTGCAAATACTCTCGTAGCATTTAGCAATGACTCCTGAACAGATGTTTCTTAGATCGCTCTGAATCAGAACCAACATGGTTCATCTGTTCTAATTGGTTAATGTTTGTTATTATTTTATTGTCACTTTCCAAAAATGTACACTATAACGTAACAATATTGAATCAACACACAGAATTACTGACATGCATTAAAGTAAAACAAATATTTTGGTCTAGAGGACTGTATTACCATGCGGTTGTTTTTGTCTAAACTCTCCCCATCTAGTCAACTGGCTGTAGCGTTTGTTTGGTGATGGTGCATTCTTGCAGAGTGATGAGCGCCGCTCTGGTGGTGGTGTTTTGTCTGTTCTTGATGATGATAAATCTGTCGACTATTTAGATACGCATTGCCACTCTTGTCATTATATGAATCTTCCCTGTGCATCAATCATAGAATGAGAGGCAAGACTGATGCCGCCTCATGCAGCACAGGTCATTTCTTAATAAGAAGCAGATCTCCTTTATTTGAATCCCTTCAAATGATAAAATAAACTGCCTCCAAACATTTTATTTGCAGAGTATGTTGGCCTTGCTAGATAAGCAGTCACGGTTTCATTATTTGCATGTTATTATCACCAAAAACTTGACAATTTTAAAATGCAAAGGGAAAAAATGGTCTGTCCTCAGTTTGACATCATGAATACTCTTCATGCTGGGTTAATTCCTTCTCCTACTTTGAAACAAGCAGTGCCAATATTCCTCTCAGTAAAAGTCTCTGTGAGGTGTCTTTGGTATGAATCATCTACGAATTACTGCACAACGATGGACATAGCTCTCCTGTGTCACTTTGATGGGTCTAAACCACTGGAAACCTGACGTGTTAAAACAACAGCCTCCCAATCTGACTCCATGACCTCAAAAGGTCACCAGGATAATGTTCCTGACCACATATTTCCCTAGAATGATGTACAAACTACTGAGAACTTGGAAAAGTGCTGTTTCTCTCAGACAGTTTATAATAATGTTGTCTCCAGATGTTGAACTGTGCGCTATAGTTTATGGTGTGCATTATGTTGTCTGTTTAAGGTTCCTTTAAACACGATGACAGGCTTTGAACTTCAATTTTATACTTTCCCGTGATTTCCGTGTGTAAACTTGATGAATATCCTGATTATCAAAGTGCTGCTCAAACTCCCATTCAAAAATAGATCATAGATTTAATTATTTTAAATAAATTATATTTATAATATAGTTGATAAATTTTTTTTTTTTTTTTTTTTTATAATAATTTTTTTTTTTATTATATAATTTATCTTAAATATAGTTTTAGTATTTTCAATTTTAAGCCACAATTATGTCAAGACATTAATGAAACAACAGTGATTGAAAGGTCGGCCTTCCGACAGGAGACCAGAAACACAACAGCATGCTTGAGATCACCGTGACATAGTTATACATTTTCCTAACATTTCAAACAAAAATCCTTTCTGACCATGTAAGACATTCCACTAATACGTTTTTTCCTCTTACCCTGTCCTCCAACTTCTTCTTCACTCAACAGTGGGAGCTACAAACAATGAGTGGAGAGCTTTAATGTCTGAACTGAAGATTCTGATCCATATTGGTCATCATCTCAATGTGGTCAATCTGCTAGGAGCCTGCACAAAGCGTGGAGGTAAGAAGAAGTTGACAGAGAGAATTCAACCTTGGTGACATGAGAAATTTGTGCAAAATTTCAACTTTTTCTCTCTCGCCCTCTATCTCTCTTTTTTTTTAAAACATTTGTTTGGTGTACGCTCAGGTCCGCTAATGATAATCGTGGAATTCTGCAAGTATGGAAACCTTTCTAACTACTTGAGAAGTAAGAGGGGTGACTTTGTGGTTTATAAGGTAAGCATTAATGTCTCTTGTTAATTTAAGCAGTGATTTGACATGATGACTCATGATATTGACCGGAGCATGTGATGATAACGTCCACAGTCTCAGGACGGTAAGGCTCTGCGTTCCAGCTCCGGGTGTGATCTGAGCGAGCTCATCAAGCGCAGGTTGGAGAGCGTGGCTAGCACCGGAAGTTCAGCCAGCTCCGGCTTCATTGAAGATAAGAGCTACTGCGACTCGGAGGAAGAGGAGGAAGGTAGCGACTGAGTGTCTTCCTTCCCCTCTCCCCTCCTCCCTCTCAACCCCTGCCTCACCTCAACCCCACCCTCTCAACTCTCAAGGCTCCGCTGATTGTTTTTCCCCCTCAGTCTGATAGGTTGCTTCCTCAGGGATTCATAAATACAACTGATATTTTGTACGAGCCACTGTCACCTACTGTGTACAGAGCTTTTTCTAATTTCCTGCTCCAAGACCAGAGCTAGTCTGCTATGGGTACATTGGGTCGTGCTGTCCCATGCCGGTTATTTCTGGTTTGATAAACTGTTTACTCAGGTGGATGACCCACCCACAAGCCGCTTACTTGAGTATCATTGACAAACTGCACATCGCAGTCTGCTCTAAAAAAAGGAAGCCATGTTTCATTGTGTCTCCCTATCGGATGTGTCTGAAGTAAACAGGAGAATTACAGACTTAAAAAAACTGTTATTAATGGATTAAGAGAACATCAAACTTGATATGCAGCATATATTTGTAGTAGAAGAAATTCTTAGATATTCTATTTCTTTTTTACATACCAAAAATTGCATAACAAAACAATGGTTTTGATTTAGCTGCTAATACTATTTTACCCTTGTCTTGCAGAGCAAGAGGATTTGTATAAGAAAGTGCTTACATTGGAAGACTTGATTTGCTACAGCTTTCAAGTGGCTAAAGGCATGGAGTTCTTGGCTTCGAGAAAAGTAAGAGTCACGCTTTCACTGCTCAGGATTTCATTCTGCAGCTCTAACCTTTGCAATGAATCATTGCATTCTTATTTTGTTGTGGCAGATCATTTTAATACAAATTTCCTTTTTAAATAATTCTTTGGCTTTTTGTTTCATAGTAATAATCAATCTCCTTATTTTGGCAACTTTGAAAAGTTTTGTCTCAAAATCCAGAAAATGAAAACCCAAATGACTTTATTGATCCAAAACACTCATTTACACACATCCAGCAGATGAGATGAATTGCCACATACTAAAGATGCAGTTTAGCGTATGTAGTTTAATCTCACCTCAGGTCAGAGTTTCCCCGATGGCAGTCCCACGTGTTTTACATTATCACAGCTTTCCATCATGTGGTCCATCTGACAGCACAATGCCACACATGGTTCAAATAAGACACAAAACGCATCTTCACTACAGCCCTTTTACCTAGTCAAGACACAGAGAGTTTAAAGAACATATAATTAAATCCTGCTATTACAATAAACTGATAGATGATGAAGTATGTAGAACATAATCTAATAGGATCTCTCTTTTATTTCTCCAAGTGTATTCACCGCGATCTGGCCGCACGAAACATCCTATTGTCTGAAAACAACGTTGTGAAGATTTGCGATTTTGGACTTGCAAGAGATGTATACAAGGACCCAGACTATGTCCGTAAAGGAGACGTAAGTGGGGAATATTATCCAATTAATTCATATCAGTCATGGATACATGGTGCAGTGAGTCTGTATAATGCACACAGTGTTTAAAATCTACTTAGTGTGATGGACACAAATGATAACAGTCCAAAAACCACTGACACTGTGAATGTTCATCTGGAAAAGGATAAAATAATTCTGTTAATGCCAAGAGTCTTTGGCGTGCTGTTAGTCATTTTATAAGCCCTGATAATATTATTCTGGTCAAAGGATCTTTTCTTGTGGTCAAGTTTGAGCCAAGACGTCACACAGAATGTATAATCAAATAGACAGCATTTTATAAGCTGCACGTTTTTGAATGTGAAATAATATTGGGAGTGGTTCCTTTACAGGTGTGAGTGGCACTAACATGGACTGCGTATCTTTTCACAGGCCAGACTTCCCTTAAAGTGGATGGCGCCAGAGGCGATATTTGACAAGATCTATACTACTCAGAGTGACGTGTGGTCTTTTGGAGTGCTCATGTGGGAGATCTTCTCTCTTGGTAAATACCATTGCTGTCCTAAGAGTATAACTCACAATCCTCTTTATTCATCCATTCATTGGAGACCTACACAGCACTGTTGCAACAGTTCAGGAACTTAATTCAATTAGAAGAGTTTAAAAGGCTTTCTAATCCTTTATTCTTACTTTTTGACTATTATCACAAACAATCTTGATTTAATATTTTGGGGAGATTCGATTATGAAACAATCAAAAAATAACTTTAAGCTTTATGAATTCAGGCCCTCAGTTCTTGGAACAATGTTTTCTACCCTGATGTTTTCCATGAAACAAAGTGAAGCTTTTTTCCCCCCTTCCTTTCTTCTATAGAGACGTCTCTTAGACTTTGTTTGTTTGCTTTACTGGTTCGGTGCGTTTTACACCAAAGCAAAAAGCCCAGACAGGATTCAGCACCCACCAAGTTAAACACATGGAGTAGGAAGGCAACTCAGCACATGCTGTGCTGCATCCAAATGGAAATAAAACGAACTCAAGGGTCCTCAATCAAAGACACCTGGCACAAACTAGGCTGCTCATAAGGGTGCCCTGCGTTATCAACCTCCTCCAGATGTAGAGGGCAATAACTGTCAGCTGCTGTTAAATTTTACTTTGGGACAAAATGGAGTGCGTTGTCAGCTTGAAAAAAACAAAACAATTTTCATTCCACTAGTGCAACAACATCTGTGAACTTCAACGTGGTGTTTTTTTTTTTTATCATAAATAGAGGTGGTAAAATAGAGGAATCATCTCCCATTTGATCAGGTTTCATTCCCAACTGGGAATGTAAACCACAGTTACCAGGCAGCATTTAATGTAAATGTCTGCTCCCCGTCCACAAATGTACTATAATATTTAATGGTATATTGTACAGTGTAGCTGTGGCCCCTTTGTCGTTAAAGGCTCTGAGCAAACAATTTTAATGTCACCATTCATATATGTATGCATTTATATATCTACTATATAACCACTATTGACATTTCTACTTTTATTGCTTTAGTTTCTAATTTAATATAAACATTTTCATTACAGATTATTGTGCTTATTTGACCAGTAATAATGCAGAAATAAAAAATGGTGCATCATCTTAAATATTTCTTTGCATCATAACTTTTTTTGGAATAGTGTCAAACATTATAAATAAAAATTCATAATACTAAGCACTAAATTATGTATTTTAATGACTATCATTCTAGAAGTGTGCGTGTGTGTCTGTATGTATGTATGTGTGTATATATATGTATGTATATATATATATATATATATATATAGTTGTATATAATATAGTTGGTTGTATGATGTCAGGGATGATATTTTTTGTGACATGATTTTGGAAGATAATTATCTAAAACTGTCTTACCTTTTCTTAAAATACTTTATTTTATAAGTTTACCTGTCTGCGCTCAATTGCCTTTTATTCTAAGTTTGAAATGCATATTAAATGAACCAGAAACCACAGTAAAAATCCCCCAACTCTACATTCACACTGTTACTGTAATGGATGCAATGAAATCTGTGGGAAAATAGTGGGGCACAATGAAATAAAGCAACATTTAGGAAAACAGAATATAAATAATAAAGTATCAGCGATATTGAAGTAATATGACCTTAACTGATGATTCTGAGCTGTCACTACCACTGAGCTGCACTGACTTAAGTTGGTGTCAAATAGACTAACACGAAAAGTTTAGAAAAATTATTATTGCTACTTGATAGTGTCCGTGGGGGAAAAGTTTGCACCGCACCCAAAGTACACCCTCATGTTTTCTGTTGTGGATTTGAATTTCTTGTCCCTGTTTTTCTAGGCACTCCACATCTACTGCACTATATTTACAAAGTTGCAGGATATTTCGAGTGCTGTTAATTTATTTGTTTTTAAAGACTACCTAATTTATGTCAGAAGGGGGTTTAGATCATAGTTTAATGAAATATTGACCCTTTCTGGGATTCGTTGTTATGATCTGCATATTTTAGTGGTTATCAGATATTATTCAAAGGATTTCAGTCAAGTAAATGAAAATATTGTTCCATGAATCATGGTTTTTGCAAGTGTGCAGCAAAGTCTCAACAGTCTGCAAGTTCATGCTGTCTTAATAATTTAGTGTTTCTGGAGAAAACAGCTTTGCATAGAGTTTCCAAGTTTAGTTGACTATCCTCATCAGCCCCACTGATGCAGATTATGCCGAGGTCTTTCCATTGATCTCTCTATATGCTCCCAACCCACTTCACAGTTTAGTGAGTTTCTTGTCAGCCCCTTTGAAGTGGCCAGAGCTCTATTTCATGGAAAAGTCTTGATAACCCCATTATTCTCTTTCTTCTCCCCAGGTGCCTCCCCTTACCCTGGCTTACACATTGATGAGGAATTCTGCTGCCGACTGAAGGAGGGCACGAGGATGAAAGCTCCTGAATACTCCTCCTCTGAAATGTAAGAATCGCTCTGCTTATGTCACTAATGTCAGACAGTCATAATTTGAAAGGGATTTGTAAACTATGCATGCATTTGTAATTACTTTTCTAAGCATTAGTGCCACAAATACTACCGTATGTGTGTTTTTTTGTGAGAAATGTTCGATATGTTAGGTAAACTATTGTGTAACATAAAATTAATAGCATAAACACATCAAATATCCCTTTAAAATTGTGATTTTGACCTGTCCCACCTTGACTGTATGCAACAATTACAATGTGACGTTGTAATTTTGAAATAATATGTTGAGTTAATATTCAATTTATTGTTGTAAAAGCCATTTTTAATTTACAAATTGTAGTGTTGATAGCATTCATCAGTCTAAAAACAAGAAAACATAATTTAAGTATAACAATTGTATTACATTACATGTCTGTTATCTGTTCTGGCACATGCCACTATACCCAAAGTACGGTATACATTGTTTAGATATTTATTTCATGAAATCTCTCTAAGTAAATTACTTCTGTGTGATGTCTGGACTTTTATAGAAACTTTAAGTGATTTTATTCCTACAAAATTCTGCAGGGTTATTAGCTTAAACCTGCATTCTGGGGAAGAAAAAATCCTTTCCTATCGATACAGTTGAAAAGAGCAGAAGTATCTAATTTCATTGCTTTGACACAAGACTGAAGCCTTAAATGGAAACAGATCGATTATTTACTGAGTAGAAGAAAGGGAGCAGCTTCTGATTGGCAGCTAGTTTATAGTGCAGTTGATGTGTGTTAGGTATCCATTACTAACTTACACCAATGTAGCTGAAACTCAAGCTCACATTAAAGGCTTCGGTCTACCTAGGCAGCGTGGGGTGGCCCAACACAGTGGCAGGACCCCTGGGCATCAGACAGGGAAACCCACCGTCAAGATACTCCCATTGTGGTTACAGGGTTAGAGAGCGAGCCAAACCTAAATCTGACAGTTTTCAGATGTAACAAGATATGAGAAAAGGGGTCATGGTATCAGTTTTAAACGTGGTAAGGAAGTGAAGCGGACAACTTCAAATTAGTGTTGCTTAAAAAAGGGTGCAGAGAACTGAATCCCCTCAATCTGAGAGAGAATATTCACTGCCTGTTCTCAATAAGAACCCCTACTGCTGTCTACGAAGTGCTCTACTCAATCTTCGTTTCAAAACTATGGGCTTATTCAGGAGGGTAGTTTTTCATATCTGACATTCTGTAACTGTATTATACCCTCTGTCTTAAACATTTGGAAACCTGAATGGAGCACTTATTTTTAAAACTTACTGCATAATGCAAGTCTCAAATTTGCAATCACACGCCGTCTGCTTAATTGAACATAACAAGAGGTCATGAAAGATGGTGATTGGAGATGACCTACAAAATGCAGTCCAGACCTCAGACCTGAATTGAATGCGGCACTCGTGAATACAGCCTTTCTGGTGCCAAGACCATTTAGCTTCAAAGAACATGTCAACTAACATTGCAGATAAGGGTCAATTTAATATACTGTATCATTTGAGTGTTGTTTTGAAGGAGGTAGCACAGATAACACTGCTCTTCAAGAAAGCAGATATGTTGATCAAGTTACGTACTAGACTCAGGGTAAACATTACTTTACTCCTGACCCTGAGAGTGACCCTGACCCAAACTTCCCTTCAGAATTCAGAAATCAGATCATCCGTCCAGACTGATTCACCCATTTAATGATGAACTGGTTCCCACCAGCCCACAGGCTCATAATAACTATTCAATACATTGAACTAAATGCTATTGGCTTTCATTAATTTCATCTTCAATTTATCTCCATGAAAAGCATGCCATAGGTGTGAGCACAGCTTGATGGGATAAATAACATCCTGGTGTACCGTTGATCTCAGAGGAACCACTATTCACCAATTTTCTGGACTTCCTGTTAGTGTAAGGAGTCGCTCCATCTGGATTCATTAAAATAACCATTCTAAAGTCCTGCTTCCTCCTGCTACTCTCCTACGCAGCCCACGAGAAGAATACTATCTCTCTGATGACTACCGAATTCAACCCCTGATGAATATATATGGTGATTAGTGTAAGGAAGTAATGAGTCATCAACTAGTACAGTAATTTTTCCATACTCCAAATTGCCCTATGTTGTGCTAATCAGACGAGATCAAAGAGTTTCATGGTTAACAGGCTTTATTTGTATAAGGACCTGTGAGTGCAACACCACAGTATAAACAGGATACAGCTCAATCATCGCCCGTGATCATTTACTCAAATGACGGGTCGGTGCATTGACGCCCCTGTGTTTCACAACTGAACCTTAGCCTTCAGATAAACTTAACCATTACAGACCACTGCAAAATCCAATAAAGGACCCCAGACGTCCCTTGTGGGCAGAGATGCTGACAGCTCGTGTAAAGCAGGAGGAAGTTCCTCTCAGCACAAACTCTCACCCTGAGAACGGTGCTATGAAAACACTCAGCCTCACTCCTCGTGTCACGCACGGAATATTATGATGAGTGTAAATAATTGGATAAAGCCGGATTTGCAGACTAACCTAGAGGTCAAGGCAAAGGGTGTAATTCATGAGGCTTTGTGTAGCTGCTGAAGAATTGCAATTTATGATAATGGCGTATTGAACCAGGGTATCCGCGGGGTCTTGAAAAGTATTAAAAGGTGATAAATCAATTTTGGGAAAATTAAGACCCTTAAAAAGTATTAAAAAGTCTTATCACGGCTTTATAAAGTCTTAAATTTTGAAAGTATTTTTTCTAGGGATGCACCGAATATTCGGCCACCGAAAATAGCCCAAAAGTGCATTTTTGGTTTTCGGCCGAAAGACTTTTATCACCGAAACAATACGGCCGAAATGTTGTGATGACGCAAACAGAAACCGCGACCTGCACGTGCTTGTCTGAAGCAACATGTCTGCGGTGTGGACGTATTTCAGTATATCTGAACCCGCGAGGAGACGGAAGCCTTGTTTATACTCTCGCCTGCCTCCGCAGCGCGAGTCTCCACAGACAGCGCGCGCACCACTCCAAACGGTCGAGGCGTTTATACTTGACGCGCTCGCCGTTGTACTTTTCTTTGAAACGACAGGGGACGACTCAAGTAACTGTCCTCTAACCATCAGGAATCGGTGTAAAGAAGAAAGATAAACACGTGACAATGTTTATTTTTTAGTACCACCACCAATACAAAAATAATCATGTAAAACCCAGTAAACCCTGAGATTATTACTTGTGACATTACAACAAAATATGTATAGGAATATGTACTAAATTAACGCTCTCTTAAATATTTTCTAATTTCACTAAACATATTTCATTAAGTTTCGTGTACATTTGTATTAAACATGGACCTTTGTTCATTAAAATGGCTTTTTATGCTAGTGTATGCTCATTTTTAAAATGTAATCAACTAATTTAGACGTGCAAACTGGGTGCTGGTGTGATGAGAAGTTCATGCTCGGCTTTGTTTTTATGACAGAACATTTAATTTTAAAACCTTTCTGCAGGCCAGCAGATTATTATTTAATGTACACATGAGTGGGGTCAAGTTAAACATTTTAGTTTGAATTTTATTTTATACTGTGCATTGTGCTAAATAAATATTTGCATAATTTGGAATTGATTTATTCTTTGAAAATGTTAATTTATGCAATTGCAATGCCTTGATTTTAGTAAAGTTTGTACACAGTCATAACCATAAATGCAATGGTACTTATAATTGGCATAATTTCTTTCGGTTTTTCGGCCTTGGGTTCCTCTTTTTCGGTTTTCGGTTTCGGCCAAGAATTTTCATTTCGGTGCATCCCTAATTTTTTCTGAATTAGCTGTCCAACAGTTTGAGTCCCAAAAACATCGTAAAAGTGTGTGAATTTAGTCATTTTTATTTTTTTTTAAAACGAAGAACTGAGGCACATGTCAGCATGATTGTTGTTGAGGGTGTAGCAAGCAAAGTTTTGTTTTGTTTTTTAATAAACTTTGCTTTGATTTACTATCCCAGCCTATTTGATTTTTTTTTTTTATCAGAGTGGTCTATAGTCTTTATCACAAACTAAAACTGTTAAGTTAAAAGTATCACTGATGTAAATGGTTACAGCTTGAAGTGGCGGTGAGGTATTAAAAAATATTGAGAAGGTCTTGAAAAAGTCTTGAAAAGGTATTAAAATTAACTTCAAGATTCCTGCATATACCCTGTGAACACAATGTTCAAAGGAAGTTCTTTATCATGTGCATGTTTCTCCTCATAGATATCAAACCATGTTAGACTGCTGGCATGGAGAAGCATCCCAGAGGCCCACTTTCACAGAACTGGTAGAGAGGCTAGGAGATCTGCTCCAGGCTAGTGTGCAGCAGGTACGATCTCATTCACTTCATTATCCTTGAATGTCTTTCCCATAAACTGTACTTGAAAGTTTAAAGACTCCGACCACAGCAAAACCACAAGGATTTTATGGGATGAGAGATGCACTACTATTGCACAGGAACACCATGGCAGACTGTCACTGCAAACTGCTTTTAGCAGTTAGTCACAGATCAAAGATTAATGAGTTATTAATGTGAGTTCACATTAGCGACTGTAAATAAAATTTAAGACAAGCAAAGTCACTCATGAAGTCAAATACATATATACACTAGTTTAGGGTCGGTAAGATTTTTTTAATTCTGAAATATTATTGAAATTTAAAATAACTGTTTTCTTTATATATATTTTTAAAAAAAAGTATTCCTGTGAAGACAAAGCTGAATTTTCAGCATCATTACTCCAGTCTTCAGTGTCACGTGATCCTTCAGAAATCATTCTAACATGCTGATTTGGTGCTTATGAATAATTTCTTGTTATCAATGTTGCAAACAGTTTGTAACATTATAAATGTCTTTACTGTCACTTTAGATCAATTTAATGCATTTAAAACTTTTAATTTCTTTCATAAAAATCTTACTGACCCTGAACTTTTGAAAAGTACTGTATGTTTAAGCAAATAAAAGCATAGACATAAAAATATTACATTGACATACACACATGTAATTGTATTCCCAATTACAAAATGTATCTCATTTACCAAGCAAATTTAAATACTGAAATTGTGAAACTTTTTTGTGAATTCCAATGCCTGTACTAATCAACACGGTATCCAAGCAGAAGAAATGTAAAAATCCACCAAGGAAAGGTAAGGAATGGATTGAATTTATAATATGGCTTAAGGAGAAGATATGGTCTCAGTCAAAGGCTACAATACACAGCACTGAGATCAAAACATATCCTAAGCCGTCTGAATTGGAAGGCATCCAAACTCCCTCTCTCACATAAGGAATCAAGCTTAGTGTACTGCCTGGACTGTCTCTAATAACATCATCTCCATAAAACTTATTCACACATTCCCCTGCAGATTTATGTACAGATTCCTCCAGAAACCTACAATACCATATGCAGGGTGATGTCACAGTTTTAAAATGTGCTGAATTTTTAAACACTTTGTGTCTTTTAGGAGGGAAAGCATTACATTCCAATCAACACAGCCCTGTTGACCAAAGCAGACCCCTCAAACCCGAGCCCCACAAAGGAGACCTCCTCCAGACCTGTCTCTCTTAGAGACTCCGGGATGGCTTGGTAAGATAGCTTTATCTTATCCATTTAGTAGTTATATGCTCAGACTGATCTGTATTTGTATTTCTGATGTTAAAAATCAGTCGGTATGTCATTATGTCTGGGGCGGCAGTGGCTCAGTGGTTCATGTAGGTTGTCTACAAACTGGAAGGTTGGTTGGTGGTTCAATCCCCGGTTCCACCTGACCAAGTCTCAAAGTGTCCATGAGCAAGACACCTAACCCCAGCTGCTCCCGACGAGCTGGATGGCGCCTTGCATGGCTGACACCGCCGTCGGTGTGTGAATGAGTGAGTGAATGGGTGAATGTGAGGCAATATGTAAAGCGCTTTGGTGGCCATTGGGTCTGTGAAAGCGCTATATAAATGCAGTCCATTTACCATTATTCATGAGGACTATTTCAGAAATGTGTTTTTTGTAGATAAAGTTCTACCAACATTTTTCTGGTTTCCATACAGTACATTTCCCTCTTCTAACCAAACATGAACCACACTTCATCCCAATGGCCTTCATTTGAATGCTTTAAAGCTGCATTCTGTAACTTTTTTGGGTTAAAAATTATCCAAAATAAATGTTTGACCAAGTACATAACCAGCCAGTGTTCAAAACTCTCTGCTTGCCTTAGCTCGATTCAAAACGGTAAGCTTGTAATAATGTTTTTAACTCCAGTGGTACTGGTGGATTTCCACGGGAAATTCGAGCATGTCTTTGCGTCATTACGTCACATCTGTACACATAAAGAAGAAGTCTCGGCTAGTTGACTATATTGTGTGTGAGGATGTTGGAGGTGGAGATTTATAGCCTTTTCTCACAGTACTTGATATAATTAAACTTATCAATTTGATGGCGGATCCAGAAAGGTTCAAACAACAATCACCAGTGGCAACTAGAGATTCACCCGCTGTAAAATGCAAAAGACTTCGGAGTGACTACAGAAAAAAGAGACTGCAACCGGACCATGCGAAAACAAGGATACATATCGGAAGGGCATTAAATGTAGTCACGCAATGCTGATGTAGTTAACATGAACAATTTGAGAACAAAGTATAATTTGCATGGTTTGACGTGATATGATAAGCGATCGTTAGATTTAATCAGCGCAATTTACTGCAATGCTTTTTTCCCTTAGTTGGTCAGAACAAAAGTGGATGTTATTTGTTCAAAAGTGACATTTTCCAGTGAAAATTCGGATGTTGGTCATACTTTCAAAAAGTAGAATCTGTGATTCTGAATGACAGTATCCACACTGGCGCGGTGACTGACAGCCGCACATTCTCCTCAAAACATTGGATTCGTCCACGCTGTGCCATGCCGAGGCAATACCCACGTAAAGTTGATAATTCCGCGAATAACTGCAATTGTAGATTTCGAACAGAGATGGCGACAAAGAGGAAAAACTACTGACTGCAGCTTTAAAATAAGGCAAAGGGTGAAGGAAACACTAATTGTTTCTTACTAGGAATGGTCCTCGTAGCATTAAGGGCCCCTCAAGGAATTTCCTCTTGTACCACAAATGCAGTTTCAGGATTTATGCCTACTTAAGATAGTATTTATCCAACTCTTTTCCATGAATCCTTCAAGTATAGAGAATAGTATTGAAATTCTTATTTATCCCTAAATCTGAATTAAAGAGTTATCCCTGCTGCGTAAAATTACATTTAAAAGTATTTTATTCAACAAAGTATTGACCTTCTACATCCCTCTTACTTTAGTATGTTTCATGTATTTGTTTGAATCTGCCAGACATGATGTCATGAGAAACTTTCCATACTGATCTTATGTGGATTATTTTATGCTTTCAGGAACATCAAGATCCGCCCAGCGAGTGTGAAGACCTTTGATGAAGTTATCCTGGAGAATGGAACCAACAAGATCCACGAGGTGAAGAGCTTGATTTTCCGCACATAAGAAATAGCACTTCATTTCCACATTACGCAACAATGCAAAAATGTTGTGTCTGTGGTTAAGTCATCTTGGTTGTTCACAGGGTGGGCAGTCAGATAGTGGGATAGGTCTATCTTCAGATGACCTGAAGACACTGAAACGCCTGGAGTCACTGGCCCGACCGCAGAGTTTCATGGCCCGAGCGTGAGTACAGTATATTCAGTCCTGTTTAGACCTTTTGCCTGGCCACGTCCAGAACCACAGGAATGGGTAGGGCTGCCGGCGTATGCCCTAGAGACCCTCCCACTGGGCTGGAATGTAGATGACACAATTGTCATACAGTTTCTCCCCCAAGCTCCACACGACTCCAGTCACTACCCCTTTTCTTTGAGAGACGTGCCTGCACGAGAATCTCTCAAACAATGGCACAGTGGAGAGATATTGCCTAAGGTGACAATCTCAACAGCCAGACAACAAAAGCAGGGCTGGGCGTGTGACTTGTTAAAGCTGGCTGCAAGGTCTGGTGACTAGCATCTTTGTTTGTGCCGCCTGGGCCTCTGACTCCATCGCTGAAATGGCAGGGCTACAGATATGGCATTTTGCCATTTCAAATAATAATACGCATTGAATTATGGCTTTATTTTATTTGAGGAAGTAATTGAAAGAATGAGTGCTTAATAGTGTTAGAGACTCTAATATATTCCATTTAGACTCCTAGTATTTTTGCTACAGAATGTATAAAACTTAAATATATGGACTGACTGATGAAATAGATGATTAAAACATTGTCAGTTCTCGTCCTCGACCAGCCTAATGATTTATTAACTGCAGACTAAAGTGTGCTGGGGTCTGAGACAACATGACTTGTTCATAAAAGTGCCCCAGGGCAAATGGTGCTGAAAACTAAAGCGAAGGGGGTCTTTTAAGTTATTAATGGAAAGCCATTGGGCTGGATTAGCCTTGTTTTTGTTAAACCGTTTGAGATCTGAGACGCATTTTATGGTCTTCCAGTGTAGCAAAGGCCAGGGTTAATCTACTAAGGTTATCCTCTAAATTGCATTCGGGGCCTCATGGACTATATGGCATCCTAATATTTGAGGATGACAGTTTGCACCACCAATTGCAGCTAGACAAATAGTGATAATCTCTTACTGATTGAAGGTTTATGACTCAGACCTGGAGAGGCAAAGTGGTTAACTAATTGGTCATGCTGTTTAGAAGTGTTCAATTTAAACATGCAATTGGCATTAGATTAGAGTAGTTGGATAGTGGTAACACCACAATGCCAGAGCTATATTATATGATCTTCATCTGGAAAAGGATCTTTCTATATCATGTTAAAAATAAATCTACACTACCGTACAAAGGTTTTGGGTCAGAACTGTATATATATATATATATATATATATATAAATATATATATACACTCACCGGCCACTTTATTAGGTACCCCATGCTAGTAACGGGTTGGACCCCCTTTTGCCTTCAGAACTGCCTCAATTCTTCGTGGCATAGATTCAACAAGGTGCTGGAAGCATTCCTCAGGGAGTTTGGTCCATATTGACATGATGGCATCACACAGTTGCCGCAGATTTGTCGGCTGCACATCCATGATGCGAATCTCCCGTTCCACCACATCCCAAAGATGCTCTATTGGGTTGAGATCTGGTGACTGTGGAGGCCATTTTAGTACAGTGAACTCATTGTCATGTTCAAGAAACCAATTTAAAATGATTAGAGCTTTGTGACATGGTGGAAGTAGCCATCAGAGGATGGGTACATGGTGGCCATAAAGGGATGGACATGGTCAGAAACAATGCTCAGGTAGGCCGTGGCATTTAAACGATGCCCAATTGGCACTAAGGGGCCTAAAGTGTGCCAGGAAAACATCCCCCACACCATTACACCACCACCACCAGCCTGCACAGTGGTAACAAGGCATGATGGTTCCATGTTCTCATTCTGTTTACGCCAAATTCTGACTCTAACATCTGAATGTCTCAACAGAAATCGAGACTCATCAGACCAGGCAACATTTTTCCAGTCTTCAACTGTTCAATTTTGGTGAGCTCTTGCAAATTGTAGCCTCTTTTTCCTATTTGTAGTGGAGATGAGTGGTACCCGGTGGAGTCTTCTGCTGTTGTAGCCCATCCGCCTCAAGGTTGTGCGTGTTGTGGCTTCACAAATGCTTTGCTGCATACCTCGGTTGTAACGAGTGGTTATTTCAGTCACTGTTGCCCTTCTATCAGCTCGAACCAGTCTGGCCATTCTCCTCTGACCTCTGGCATCAACAAGGCATTTCCGCCCACAGAACTGCCGCTCACTGGATGTTTTTTCTTTTTCGGACCATTCTTTGTAAACCCTAGAGATGGTTGTGCGTGAAAATCCCAGTAGATTAGCAGTTTCTGAAATACTCAGACCAGCCCTTCTGGCACCAACAATCATGCCACGTTCAAAGTCACTCAAATCAACTTTCTTCCCCATACTGATGCTCGGTTTGAACTGCAGGAGATTGTCTTGACCATGTCTACATGCCTAAATGCACTGAGTTGCCGCCATGTGATTGGCTGCTTAGAAATTAAGTGTTAACGAGCAGTTGGACAGGTGTACCTAATAAAGTGGCCGGTGAGTGTATATATATATATATACTGTCATGCTCAAAAGTTTACATACCCCTTGCAGAATCTGCAAAATGTTAATTATTTCAATGAAAAAAGAGAGATCATACAAAATACATGTTATTTTTTATTTAGTACTGTCCTGAATAAGAATTTGTCGTTACCGGGAAGATCCACGGCCACGATTATGGTTGTTCTTGAGTCCCTTGTTTTTCCTGAACAGTTAAACTGCCCAATGTTCTTCAGAAAAATCTTTCAGGTCCTGGAAATTCTTCAGTTTTCCAGCATCTTTTGCATATTTGAAACCTTTCCAGCTGTGACTGAATGATTTTGAGATCCATCTTTTCACACTGAGGACAATTGAGGGGAGAGGATTGAAGATTATATATATATATATATATATATACATATATATAAATTAAGCTTTTTTCAGCAAGGATTTAAAGGTCTTAAACTAAAGACTTTAACATTGTTACATAAAATAGAGTAATGGCATAGAGTAGAGCCATCACAGCAATAAATAATTTTTTGTAAATATTTTAAAATAGAAAAGTTATTTTATTTTGTAATAATATGTCATAATATTATTGAGTTGGTGAGCATAAGAGACATCTTTCAAAAAAAAGAATAATTGTACATATTTTGATGATGCCAAGTCAACATGTCATTATCACAAAATAAACCCTGACAAGCGTTTTTTATAATTATAAAATGTATTAATTTTACCTAATAATAAATAATTATCTTAAAGCTTCTGCTAAGAAAAAAATGTCCACTACATTTTACAAAACTTTCAGCCTACTCAGCGCCGTTGCTCCCACCATGCCCATCACGCGCTGTGCGTAGGGCACCAAGTGCTGAGGGGGCACCAAAAGTAGCCTAATGAAAAATAAATCATCATAGTCATAATAATTATAATGCCAATATTATTTCAGTATTGAAATATTATTAGGCACTTTTTAGGCATGTATATAACAAAACAGGCGGAACAAGAGTATTTAATTGCTCTAGAAAGCAACGATGTAACATAAAGGAATTATACTTAGGGCACCAAAATGGCTAGCAGCAGCCTACTGTAGTAACAAGATGAATACTGTAACAATATTACAGTGATATTAATACTAAAGTTAATTTTCACTATAATCAATAATTGAGATGAGCGAGTCCATAGTGTGATATGAGAGACATGAAAGTACTGCCAATACAGCATTGCTCTGGACATCAGCGAATATTAGGAAATATTAGACCGTTGAATGCTGTAATCAGAATTGAGTATTCCAGAGACCTGTGTAGTAAGTTTTAATAACACCACACCCCCTCCTCCTCTACATTACAACATAAATACAGCAGCAGGGAAGATTGCAGAGCTTGGTTGTCTCTTTCTGCTATGATTGATGAGCCAAGATTGACTGCAAATGAACAAAATCTACAGGTTTTCATTAAAAACACTCTGTTTCGCCTCTGTCAGCACTCCCCCATCTTGTCACGTCCAATGCCGTCCACATCCTAGCCCGATATGATAAAAAAGCTGGGCACAGCCTGCAACCATCTAGCAAACCCATGCACAGGTTGCCATGGTCACAGCCATGGGAAAAAAAGCCACTCAGTGTATGTAGAGAATGATGTATATATTGTAAAGAGGCGGCCCCTGCCAAGGACCTACTCAATCATTGTCACCTTTGACCTTCTACAGCTTTACTGCTGTCCAAGAGTCTCCCTCCACATTGTCCCTCTGGATTCCACCTGATACTCCCACATTTAGTATGCACATATGTGGAGTGCTTTGCACTGACTGTGTACAGACCCCAATACATGCCAATCTGTTTCCTATAGATATTTACTGCAAATTACTACCCCTTTAAACTAAAAGCAAAGCTCTCCATGGTGTCTGACCCAATGACCCCGGATGAAGATGTTATTGAAACCCATTGCAACACACAGAGCAAAGTTTGCATACACAGCACAACAAAATAATACTATTCATTAAAACCCATTTGCTCCTCCCACAGGATGAAGAGCAAAAGCAAGGAGTCCGTTCTGCTGGAGGGTGAAAAGGAGAAATACCCAGCGCTTGTTCCCTCACTGGACCTGAGTCTGGAGGACTCCTCTCTTGACCCGGAGCTGGAATGTCACAGCCCACCTCCAGACTATAACTATGTGGTCCGTTACTCCACACCACCCGTCTGAGTTGGTCTGCACTTGTAAGCCACCAGAAGTCTGATTGGTTGGGTGCACATTCTATCAATTTCATTTTTTTCTGTTCCACTTTATTCTGATATTGGAATGGTCATCAGAGTTTCACATTTCCTCTTTCTGTGCATCTTTTCAAGGTAGTGTATGAGTACATGAGTACAGTGGACTGCCACTCATATCACTGTGGCAGTCTGAGATACAGCTACAGACCACCTCAGGTATTCCTGCTGTCTACTGTGAACAAAAAGCACATTTTATTACAATAACGGCGCTGTTTTCCCCAGTGAAATGGCATTCTTCTTACAGAATGGTGGCTAATTATGAAATCATTTGTTCAGTGGTTAGAAGGAGAAGACAAAGGCAATCTTTATTTTATTTCTAGATAAATATTTTATTGAAATGAAAACTGGAATTTTGGTTATGTGATATTTTATTTTTATTTTGCTAAAATTATTATTTCAGAGCTTACTAAAGCTCATTCTTTACTTTTTTAGGATAACAAATATTTTTATTTAGAACAGATTTTACTCGCATTTCACGCAACTGTCAGACAAACTCAAACAAAGACCACAGATCATGAATAATTGAATGTGCGGTCTGAAATTCCTTCCCAAAATTCAATCTGATATTGCAGGACACATTGATCATCAACACTTAGGATGCACATTGTGTTTCCATGTTCCAGTCTGAGGCCCAATGAAGCTAAAATGAATCACTTTTGTTCCTGCATATAGTATTTTTTTTATCTGGCAGAAGATCATAGCGTTCATTCTGGTTCTTTTTTTATTTTATTATTAGTCAAGCTTCTTACATATGGCAAGACAGAGTGGCTTATGGGTGCCTAACATCCAGTCTATCACTGTGAAAGTGGCTTCAGAAGCCTTAGCAAGTAAATTATTCATGCACATTTAATAGGAAACATTTGGTTAATTATTGATCAAATTTGGACCACAATAAAAAGGCCTTGCTCTGTTCAACAATAGTTACACTGCATTGTGTACTTTCCATATTTATGTTGTTTACACTACTGTATACATAACAGCACGTAATATGTTGTGCAGCTAGTAATCAGAGGAAGGTATTCTGTTACTAATTCAGTAGTCTTTTGTGCTAAGATACTACTAAAGCTTGCAGGGCAGGCTATAATATTTTCAACAGGCTGGTCACTATTTAAACGGACATGATAATTATAGTAAAAGCATGTGCACACATGTAGGTGCTATCAGTATTAACTTCTTAACATCTGTATGTAAGTAAACCAACACTATGGGATGGAATAGGTGTGAGATCATTGCATTGGTTAAACCAGATTATATTGACCGTTGTAAAAGCGGTTTGGCCCGTGATTGCTGAAAATGATTGTTTTTAAGTCCCAGTACTAACATTCATTGCTGATGGACTGTCTTCCAAATAATGAAATGTATATACTGCCAAATGATGCTTTCAATAATGTTGTTATGTTGACTGGTATTTGTGAAGTAAAATTGTATGCACTGATATTTTCTACATATATATATATATTTTTTGTATTATAACTGTATTTTAATATTAACCAAGCATAAATAAAGATCTATATATTTATATATAGCACATTTTCAGAGTCATGATTGCATTTGTACTAGTACATGCCTGTATTTTATGGCTAATACTTCTAATAAATAAAAATGCACAGAAATAATTCAATGACACTGTACTGTAGTTTTCTTCCTAAAGCATAATTTCCAATAGGTCCAACTATACATATTTCCAGTAACATTTTGCTAACTATTCTAAGATTGTTGGTGGAGATGGTTAGGCCGTGTGTCATGTGCTCTCTTCCTCCTGCTTCTTGGCCACAGAGACACATTTCCTGAGCGGGCCGAGGTGACGGCAGTCTGTCTGTCACCAGGACAATACCTCTGTGAGCAAGAAAAGGAAGGGCTTCTCCATCATTCCCATCACAACAGGACTCCAAACACCAAACTTCCTAAGGGCCAACAGTGCCCCCCAGCTTTGGCACTAAAACACCAGAGCTGGTTCTGCTTGTCATAATGAAGATATACAGTGTTTACAGTACACTTGGTAAAAAGTCACTGATTGATTGAAGGCTGTGAGACATGTAAACTAATTCAGGAATATGAAGTATAAACAAACAAGGGAAGGATGTTGGGAGGGTTAGGGGTCATCATATTCTGGCTGCGAGCACAAACGTGGCATTCACGCACACCTCATATTTTTCCACACTCGCAGGAAGTACATACAGTCTCTGAGCTCGGTAGTTAATCAGAGTTCTCAATTTCCTTTGCTCTAAATGGACATGAATATTACTGCTCAGTCATCATTTCCATGAGCATAAGTTCCAGTTTATTAACATAGAAACATAAATAACATTAAACATTAAATTAATATTTTTGTATATACAGTCATGGTCAGATTTATTGGCACCCCAGGTAAATATGATCAAAGATGGCTGTAAAATAAATTTGCATTGTTTATCCTTTTGGTATTGCATGTTTTTGGGATTTTTTTGTGCAAAAATGTAATCTCATAGTAGTAAAACAATTGAAAGGGGGGGGGGGGGGGGGGTGTTTTTCTCCAAAACACGCTGGCCACAATTATTGGCACCCCTAGAAATTCCTGTGACTAAAATATACTAAGTAGATTCCCATTCATATTAATTTTTTTTTAGCATACCAGGGTGACTAGGAACATTGTTCAGCCATGACTTATTGTTTCACAGGAGTATAATTATGAGGACACACAAAGGGCAAACTTCCTTAATCATCCATCACAATGAGTAAAACCAAAGAATATAGTTCTGATGTGCAGCAAAAGATTGTTGAGCTTCACAAAACAGAAAGTGGCTGTAAGAAAATAGCTAAAGCATTAACAATTCGGAATTGTCAATTCCCATTTCCACCATCAGGGCAATAATTATGAACTTCCAATCAACTAAAGATGTTACGAATCTGCATGGAAGAGGAGGACGTGTGTCTATATTGTCTTAATGTATGGCGAGGAGGAAAGTTTGAGAGGCCAAAGACTCTCCAAGGATCACAGATGGAGAATTGCAGAGATTAGTTGAGTCAGAAAGCCTAAAAGAAAAATCGAACAGCCTACATCCCCACATGTTGTTTAGGAGGGTTTCAAGAAAAATCCTCTGCTCTTATCCAAGAACAAACTCCAGCATATTCAGTTCTCAGACACTACTGGAACTTCAAACGGGACTGGTTTCTGAAGTCAGATCAAACACACAAAAAAGAGCTAAAAAGTACCCCATTCCCATTGTTAAATACTGCTGGATCTGTGAAATTTTGGGACTATTTTCTGCCGGAGGTCCTTGACATACCAACAGATAAAAAATCAAAACCTGGCCACCTCTGCAAGAAATCTTATAATGGACAGTTGGCTCTACCATCAGGACAATGATCCAAAACAAACATTAAAATCAACAACAAAAAATGGGTCACTGAGCACAAAATGAAGCTTCTGCCATGACCATCCCAGTCCCCTGACCTGAACCCATAGAAAATGAGTGGAGTGAACTGAAGAGAAGAATTTATGGAGGAATGGTCTCTGATCTATTGTCAGGTGTTCTCAAAACTCATCAGGCATTATAGAAGAAGACTCAGAGCTGTTATCTTGGCAAAAGGAGGTTGCAAAAAGTATTGAATAAAAGGCGCCATTAATTGTGGCCAACGTGTATTGAAGAAAAAACATTTATTTCATAAAGAGATTTTTTTTTTAATTAAAGATCAAAAGGATTAACAATGCAAATTTATTTTTACAGGCTTCTTTTTTTCATACTTACCAAGGGAGCCAATAATTTTGACCATGACTGTACATTTTATGTTGATGCATTGATTGCATGTTCATCAACCATTCAGGGCTGTTGAATGCTTGAATCTAATTTGTGGACAAATTTGCAATTATTTTTAGGGAAACGCACGGCTAAAGTAGTTTCAGTGTCTGAGGTAAAACCAAAACGCGCCCCCTCATTAGCATACAGACAAATAAATGTGAAAATAAATACATGTGGAAATAAATAAATGACATTAGTGCGATATTGCCATGACGGAGTGTGAGGTTGAAGATATGCCACCGCTACGTTTACATTACGATGGACTGTTGTTTTGCGTACCTAGTGCAGCAGGAATCAGAATTCACTGATCACGTGACGAGAGTAAGTGATCAGATAACTGACAAGACCATAGCAGAGGATTCCTTGCACAACAGAGCCTTAGCTTCTGATAAATGTCCTGATAAATGAGAAAACTGTTATATTCATTTTTATTTATACTGTTTTTATTTCTATGATCAATTTGTCAAAAGTTGTAGAAGCTCATAAATCATGTAGCCTACAGTTCTAAGGTCTGAAGAGACTCATGAAATCACAGGAGAGAAGCCAGTCAGTTGAGTTTGTGGCAAAACCTTTTACAGTGCTTGAGTATTGTTGTCTTTTACTGCACATGATAATTCATAAGTACTGAAATGATATCCATTACAAGATGATTTAAAACATTTCAAATGCCCCCGCAGACTATTTTTCTAGTCATGCATTTCGTCGTTGAGGATTTCTAAAAAATACGGTGTAAAAATCTCATCTCGTCTCGTTCTCGTGAACTCAATCTCATGTCTCGTCTCTCGTCTTGTGAGCTAACTATCTCGTATCACCCCAGTAGACATAAATACATATTTACATACACAATATATACTGTATACATATATACTGTGGAAATAAATAAATGAAAAAAAAAAAAAATTATAAATACGTATACTCATTTATTTGACATTTATTAGTATATTTATTTATGCATTTTTTTTCTTTTATATATTTATTTATTATTTTGGCAGCTTTGAAATTCCATACTTACAACCTATACAACAGCAAAACCTACAACCCCACTGACAAATTATGTCAATGCTATTGCCACACAATTATGTTTTATTATGTACATTCCGTACATAATAAAACATAATTTTGTGACAGTAACATGGACATAATTTGCACATACTCTCTTTCTCCCACTCAAATGAACACAAACATACAGAACGGACACACACTTGCATAAAAATGTGTTGTCAGCGCTGCTCTGAAGATTTTATTTGTAAAATAGCACTAAAATAGCAACTTAAAAGCCACATAGCATTTCCCACTAGCGAGGTAATAACGCTGATGTTCTTGAAGCATTTAAACATACAGTTTCACTATTTGTTGAGACGCTTCTGCTGAACACACACAGGTAATTCACATATGCTTCATCTATCTCTCTCTCTGAATGAAAAGTTATGTTATTAATTAATAGGTAATGACTGCTAA